CTGTTAAATGGTGCTTATATGTAATATGCCCTTATCAAACAATAGAGACTAGGCCTCAGCATCACATTCGCAATGAATCGTATTTCGGATGAAATTCATAATTCGTCAATTAAGGCGTGCTGAAAAGAGATCCGCAGAGCTATTATGTAAAAAATCTGAAAAACGTAAAGTCTCACGAAATGTTATCTTGCAGACTAGGTAGTTTTTAGTGTTGAAATAGTTCTCGTTTAAGCAAGGCGTACAGCTACAAAACGAGTTCACAAGTGTACAACAGCTTATGCTAAGTTAACATCTTATAGAAAAACCTACGAAATGTCAAAAAAAAAACAACTAAATGTCACTTTTCAATATATGTAATTATCATACCTACAATATCCTGCCTAACAGGAATCGCGAATCTCGCAATCTCTCTACAAATGCCATACTCAAAATATCTGCATATCTTGAAATTTTCTAATCTGCCGAGTTTAAAAAATGCGATCGGATAACGTGTCGTATATCGGATTAATCAGGAGACTTTGGTCTTTCGTTTTGAGAAAAAACATCGTAGCTATCTCGATCCGTAACGAAGGTTCGTATCGAAGAAGACAAAGTACGCGGAAAAACGGCTGTCGTCGGTACTTTTGAGGCGCTCAAAGTTTACTTTTTCGAAATTTGACGGTAATTCTAACGGTCAGAATCGTTTCCTAAGCTCAATATCTTTATTTTTGGATAGCTATATAATTTTTACTCGCTTACGTGTAGTAGTAATAGGAGGACAGAGCCGGAAAACAAAGTGACTTTGTCACGCATCGAAAAGTAGCATATAGTTTCGCGAACCGGGAAAAAAACCGGAAAAACCGCGTCGACGTCAAACGCTCTGATCCGCTCGCGAAATCTAAATCCTACCAAAAACAAATGATCACCGCTTACTATCGTCGATACCCATGCGGAAGTTAATAAAATAAAAATTAGTTATCAGATCGAAACAGATACAAACGTTATTTGTAATTGTTTTGCGTACTATTTTTCAAATCAGATGGTAGCTGGCACTTTTGGTCAAAACATGGTATTACCCTGCATTCTTCGTCTTTCACGCCCCTCCGATTCAATCTATGTGCCATACATTACAGAAAATGATGTTTTGAGGTCAAAATAAGCTTAAAGGACAAAACAAGTTCTGGTATGGATAAAATTCCTCGCAGAGTACCAAAATCTATTACATTATACTTTGAAGTTAAGTCATTAATTTTCAGATAATGATTGTAGAAGGAAGATAAACCAAAATGTGTGTGTAAAAATAAAAAAAATAAAAAAAATCTTACCTTGTTTTATAAAGTATCCCTCCGACAAGTATTTCAGTGCGGACCTGTATTTGATCGTGCGGTCTCGAGCACCGGCATGCCCTCCCCTGTGAGGTCTTAAGTCACCTGATTCACGAGCCCTTTGTACTACATTAACAAAGGCACGAGGGGTTGGTTGCACTCGATTGGGAAACCGATCCGCATAAATCCGTGATGCCGCGGCAGCATTTTGTAAAGACCCCCCCCCGTAAATAAGAATCATGTCCACAAGTTCAGCATTTTCGTAAACATGTGCCATTTTTTATTTCGTTTGAGGCACGCAACAAACACCACTATTCACTCACGCGTTACCGACTGACACATTGACTGAATACAACTGAATAAAATTGTAGTAAAAACATCGTGATAAGCGTTTCAAATTCTTTCGCTATTTTGTTTCCGATGCGATGAACCCATAAGGCGGATTATATCCGTTGTTGCCAAACACGAGCACATAATATTATTATTGAGACAGGGCGGTACATAAACTTCTAAAGGGCTATAACTTTGTTACTTTAATTTTACCAGAAAAATGTTAAAGGAAAAAACATTTCTTTTGATCAGAACTACTCACTGTTAAAATAAATGACTCAACTTCGAAGTCACCCTGTATATTTTGCTACCTATGACTCATATAATAAATGTTTCCGTAAGAAGTGGGTTTTTTTCTGATCTGTTGAAGCTAACTCTAATTTTGCCTCTTGAAGAGGGGAATCTGGAGGATTTAGAAAATTCCAGACAAATATCACTCTATCAGAATTTTCTAAGATCATTGAGGGGACAGTGGATAATGTAATAATAATTATTACTGACTGCTCTGAGATTCAACATTTTATCTGATGCCCAGATGGTTTCAGGCATAATAAGTCTGTGGAGACTGCTACCTCTGAACTTTCAAATTATGTCTATTCAGAACTAGATCAAGGTAATTTCGTTCAAGTCTCATGTTTGATTTATCGAAAGCTTTTGACAGCCTGAGTAAGGATATAATACTGGAAAAACTACATTTACTTGGTCTTAGAGGCCGTATTATTTCTGTTTTAACAGATATAACATGTATCAATGCGGGTACCTGTTGCGATATGTGGCAACTTTGGTCGAATTTTGGGAGTCAGTCATGTTTTCCTTATTTAGCATAAGAATATATTATTTTGTTATAGGTTTTTAAATAAATCGTGTTTCTACCTTTGTTGGAGTGTCAATCTATTGAATGTGTACTCAATGTCAAGGATTTGACATACGTCAATGCCATGTATTAGTCAGTATTGGTAATTGGGCCGTCATTGATTCTGTTCCCTACTTGTGTGAATATAAGTTTAAAATCTATAAATATCTTTCATTTAAGTCCGCAGCCAACTGCAATGTTGTATCGAACACACCGTTTTTTACTATTAAAAGCCTAATTTATTACTCCGACACTAATTTTTAACAACACCTGCAACATTACAAATCTGTGGCTATGTCGATTGGACTATCGGGTTTCGAACTGCTTGCTGACCCGTCGTTGATTCTGTGCGTGTATTTAGAGATCAATATCTTCATTCATCGTGGAGATATATCAAGAAATAGGTTTAAAAACAATTAAGGCATGCATACACAAAAAAGTTCTGAAATTGAGCAGACCACACGATAAGGCTATTCAATAATTTAATATGTAATTATGTATTTTTGCAAAATAATGGCCAATTTTTTACCTCGTATAGGATACGACGATGATAATGATGATAAACATGAGAAAACAGCAATACCACCTTACAGGCGCTCGAAGTACTACCCTGTACTTTTTCACTTTTATTACGAGGGTAGTACATAAACAACTTAACAATGGCTTCAATGTCGGGTTAATTACAAAGCCACTTACTTGGCGACTTAACGACAGGGGAGTGGTCCTTTTGAGTACATTCTATATTCTACTCATGGCATGCACAACTCTATGTCTATTACAGTTACAGTTACCCGTCTTTCACGAGTGCGAATATTAGTGGGCTGAACACTTCCTGTATCTCGAAGTCCTTGGTACACTTGCACAAATGTCCTTCTCGACGACGTACGCGAACAAAAACAAAACACGTCCGAAGCCCGATAACTAACCACTGTTACCGTTTGCGATCGATTGCCGGTTCGATAAGAGTGACGACGCGCTGTTGTCATGTGTGTTTTAAATATTTAATTTAATGAAATTTACTTACTGACTAAAAATGTTGGCTTAACTTACAAAAACTTGCCATTTATTTGTTAATTACCCAATTTAAAAACGTTTTAGATTAGATTATAAAAATTAAAGACTATTGACTTTTGGACCATGGTTCATATGAACTTTGACTTGTCTTGCCCCCCCCCCTATTACCCACTTCAATATTGACTACTATAACGTTTGCACCCAGTAAAATAATGGCCATGATATTTTTCAATTACATTATTAGGAATTATAACACATTGCATGGGGGAATCGTAGCATCCCACCGCATGGAAGTTACGCCCGATATCGATACCTTAATAATCTGGTGCCAAGTTTTTTATGCCGAAAAAAAAGTATGAATATAAAATAAATAAGGACATTAGCAATTTACAAAAGTATACATTTCAATATGTTGAACCATTAATGGATTGGTTCGTCGATATATTTGACGTGTTTTTATACCACATCAAACACAAAATTCCGCGTTATTTTCGCATAAAAATGTATGATTATAAAAACTCTATAATATAGTAAATTGTTAAGAGATTTGCATTACGAGTCAAAAGGATGAATTTAGAATAAAGCAAAATAAATTTCTTTTTTCAGTGCACAAATAAAGAAAGAGCGGGAAAAGGAACAAGAAACTTCACCGATTGAAGAAGGAAACAAGTTGTTCCGCTGCTATATTTGTAACTATACGAGCCACTGTAAAACAGGTTTAATCGGTCATATCGAAAGGAACAATTGCTATTTAGGATCTGTTTTGAAAAAATCACGATCTGTTTCTAGGAAACAGACCCGACTAAATAAATTCCGTTGTATCAAATGTAATGAGGTGTTCAAAAGGAAAACGTTACTAGATAATCATGTAGTTAGAAAGCATGCCGAATATGTTGCGTCAGTTTCGTCTAAGATACATGAATGTAATTACTGTGATTTCAAAACCGTTCTTCAAAATGCTTTAGCTAAGCATATGTTGAGGCATACTAGTACAAACGTTCCTGCAGTTCAAATTTGCGAGCATTGTAATGCGTCATTTAAAAAAAAGCAAGCGCTCTTCGACCATATTCTGAAGAAACATCCCGAACTTACCGAATCTGTATCTTATAAGATACATTCATGTATGCATTGTGAATACAAAACTATGTACGTGCAGTCTTTAGACAGGCATATGATGACACATACTGGAGCTAAACTGACGTGTGCAAAGTGTGATGTGTCATTTGTAAAAAAAATTTCGTTACACAACCACATTTTACAGGAGCATCCCGAGTCGACTGCTTCCGTGTCTAGTAAGATACACGAATGTACACATTGTGAATATAAGACTACGCATAAGCAATGCTTAGCTAGGCATATGATGAAACATACTGGAGCTAAGCTCAAGTGTGCAATATGTGGTGCCTCGTTCACGTTTAAAGCGTCATTAGACAACCACGTTTTACAGAAACATCCTCTCTCTACTGCTTCTGTCTCACGTAAGGTACACGAATGCATACATTGCGAATATAAAACTACATACGTGCAATGCTTAGCCAGGCATATCATGAGACATACTGGAGCTGAGCTCGCATGTACAAAGTGTGTTGCGTCATTCACGACAAAACGATCGTTAGATAACCACATTATTAAGAAACATCCTCTGTTCACTGACTCTGTGACTAGTAAGATACATGAATGTAGACATTGTGAATATAAAACTGTAGAACCGCGGTATTTAGCTGCGCATATGGTGAAACATGCTGGCGCCACGCTCACGTGCACAAAGTGTAATGCGTCATTTATGTTAAAAGCGTCATTAGAAAAACATATTGCACAGGAACATCCTTCTGTTCTTGAATGTCCACATTGTGAATATAAAACTGTAGAAGCGTGGCGTTTTGTGATTCATAATATGGTGAAACATACTGGATATAAGCTCAAGTGTGATGCGTCATTTGCGTGTAAATCATCATTATACAACCACGTTTTACGGAAAGATTCTGTGTCTAGTAAGATGCTTAAATGTACGTATTGTGAATACAAAACAACTCACAAAAATAACTTTATTGATCATATGAGGAAACATGCGTAGTCATAGGTACAAGTTTTAGTTTCAACGTATTTGAACATTGGGACACATCTTGACACAGTGGCGTAGCTTGGCCCTCAGGGGCACCATATAAAAATATGAAATGGATGTTGAACAAAAATAAATGCTATCCCACAGAAAATCTTCACAGTGAATCTCAGCTTTTCGTCTGCCGGCAAATATATTTTTATCATACAAGAATATATTAAACAAAAATCAAAAATTGTTACATTCTATCAGCCAAAGATCATTCCACTGTCTATGCTCAAAATTTTATAATGTTATTGCTGCAAACTTTAAACATATAAGATGTAAAAAACAACAAATTCATAAGATTGTAGACATTAATAACACTGGTCAACAAAATTTTAACTTTGTCGTGCCACACGGACTTTTTTGATATTTTTTACTTTAATTGGTGATTGTAAAAAAAAATAAACAGTTAAAAAAAAATTGCTAGACAAGGATTTTATTCTATTGAGTAATTTAAAATATTAAGAAAAAACACAGATCTCGTAAATCAAAAGTTATTTTTTTTTATAAATGACTTAATAATCTAAGATTTTCTTGAATATTTTGCTTCTGGTTGGTCCCTTTTAATTGTCCAGCAGTAATCTGCTAACATATTTGGGCTCCATTTGAACTGGTACCGCTTTTCCATATTGGAAATGTCCTGATGGAACCTCTCACCGTGCTCGTCGCTGACAGCCCCTAAATTGTCAGGAAAAAAATCCAGGTGCGAGTCTAAAAAATGGATCTTAAGTGACATGTTGCAACCCAATGCTTGATATGACAATAATAGCTCGCTAACCAACTCTCTGTAGCTGTCACTCTTGTGGTTACCCAAAAAATTTGCAACAACATTTTTAAAAGCCTTCCATGCAGATGTTTCTAAATCGCTTAATTTTTCTTCAAATCTTGAATCTTTTATTAACTCCCTAATTTGAGGGCCAACAAAAATACCCTCTTTTATCTTTGCATCACTTATTTTAGGGAATTTTTCTTTTAGATACAAAAATCCACTCCCATTGCGATCCATTGCCTTCACAAAATTTTTTTATAATCCTAATTTGATATGCAATGGTGGTAGAAGCACATTATTTGGCTGTTCAAGGGGTAAATACTTTTACGTTTTTTTGCCCAGGAACTAACGATGCACGCGTAGGCCATGTTTTTTTTATATAGTGATTAGTTCTGGCTCGGCTATCCCATTCACATAAAAAGCAGCAAAACTTTGTATATCCCAGCTGAAGTCCAAGTAATAGTGCAACAACTTTAAGATCACCGCAGATTTTGAAGGAATATGTACTGTAATTTATTTTTTCAAGTAAAAGTTTCATATTTTCATAGGTTTCTTTCATATTTGCAGCATGGGCCAGAGGTACAGACGGAAGCTTATTTCCATTATGCAGTAACACTGCTTTTAGACTTGCTTTCGAAGAATCAATGAATAAACGCCACTGAGAGAGATCAAAATCTATGTCCAACATTTTCATAATCTCATTTCTGTTATTGCAAAACACCAAATCTCCATCCTGAGAAAAATACGTTCTGAAGTGTTGATCACGGTTTCGAAAATAGCTAACTTTTGTATTATGATGTAGCAAATTCCATTCTTTTAGACGTGATCCTAATAGTTCTGACTGCTTTTTTGACAAATTTAAATCCCGAACCAAATCATTTAGGTCTCCTTGAGTTATCAAATGTGGCTCGTTTACAATTCCTTTTAACTCAAAGTCATCGTCCTCGTCAACACATTCACCTGAAGTGGACGGTTGTGAATTGTTCTCAACAGACGTAGTTGCAACTGGTATTAGTTCTGGCAATTTCTTACAATGAGAGACTGGTCTTATAGCCGAAGATAAGTTAGGGTAAATAACTGTGGTTTTTTTCTTGTAATTTATACCTTTTATGTCTGCGAGACAAAAATAGCAATCTGAAACATGATCTCGCTGTTCAGTCCATATCATGGGTACAGCAAACGGCATAGGTCATGCACCTTTCTTCCAGTCAGTTAAATTTTTCACACACGTTATGCAACAGACATGAGGGGCCCAGGATTTGTCTTGATGGGCGACAGAAAAACCAAAACATTAGTGATAACACTCCAACACAAGATTCGTAAAATTTCGTCGTTGTTTTTTGAATGTTAGTTCTCCGCAGACATAACAAAAAGAGTTAGGATCATTATTACACTTCCTCGACATATTCACAGGGTTAATAAATCACAAAAAAGTGTTCAAATTCAACAACAAATATTTTTATAAGGATTTACTTATAAGCGTTTCTGTTAATTTACTGCCGTAGTACTAGTTACGAGTATTACCGTATCACAACAAATATGAGGCTAATAGACATATGACAGCTGTCATGTAATAATGAGGGTCGACTGATAAAACAAAATTAGCTGTCAAAGTTCGTGTGGCAAAACCAGTGTGTACTTTTTTGGGTAGAACAACTGCAGCATGTTTGGAATACTGGTTTGTTTTTTGGAAATAAATTGCAAGATAAACGGGGTAGCATTTAGCAATTATTGGGAAATTATTAAATTTTAATGATATAAACAATCAAACGAAAGAAAAACCAGGAACCCCATCAAAATATTTATAAAATGAAAACTCCAAAAGCGTAAATTCACTTGGGATACAGGTCATTTAGTATATAGTATTCCAAATTATAACCACCTTTTTCAAACTTTTAACACATTTCCTAAGAAGCTAATAAATTTATCAACTTTGTAACCATTTTACAGTCTTTGGTAATTAATCTGTTTATCAAATTAGCTTATGATTATTATTAATCACAAATCAGTATTTAGCCTGAACTAATAGTTTAGCTTGCCGTTTCCAGTGGCACATCTTCGAACAACAACGGTAATTGATTGTCCAAAAAGTCAAGAAAGACGTTGCCATTCCGGGATTTCTCGAAAAAATGTCGCCCAATAATTCTGCCTCCCAGTATGCCACGCCACACATTTAAACTCCAACTGCAGACCAATAATGCATTTTGTGACGCTCCCATCTCTATTAAAGGTAGCTTCATCGGTCCAAAGAATTTGAAATAAAAATTCTCTATTTTCGCGTATGATGTCTAACATCCAATGGCAATCAATCGAAGTCTTTCTCTTTCAAGGCCTGATGCAAAACGACATGATATGGGTGCATTCTGAGAGTAATTGAAAAAAGTTAAATTCAATGAATCCCTATATTTTGATGACTATTAGAACTCACCTATGGTCCTTCAAAATATTTTGAACCCTTGTTCGTGATATGCCCAACTCAAGGGATAATGCCCTTGTACTAACATGAGGATTTGGCCTAAATTTTAGGTTAGGAACATTTAGCTATTTTTGCCTGAAAAAAATCACACCATACCATATTATTGGTGCTCCGTCAGCAAAAAAAAAACTGAATACTACAAAATTATCATTCAAAAATACCATCATTTTTCAACTCATTAAAAACTGCCAAAAGTAAAATGCGTTAAATAATATACGACAATTTGCTGAGATTTTTGTTGAAGTTGAGTCATTAATTTTCAGATAATGATTGTAGAAGGAAGATAAACCAAAATATGTGTGTAAAAATAAGAAAAAAATATAAAAAAATGTTACCTTGTTTAATAAAGTATCCTCCCGACAATTATTTCAGTGCGGACCTGTATTTGATCGTGCGGTCTTGGAGCAGCGGCATGCCGTCCCCTGTGAGGTCTTAAGTCACCTGATTCACGAGCCCTTTGTACTACATTCAGCATTTTCGTAAACATGTGCCATTTTTTATTCACTATTCACTCACGCGTTACCGACTGACACATCGACTGAATACAACTGAATAAGATTGTACATTGTAGTAAAAACATCGTTTCAAATTCTTTCGCTTTTTTGTTTCCGATGCGATGAACGGATAAGGCGGATTATATCCGTTATTGCCAAACACGAGCACATAATATTATTATTGAGACAGGGCGGTACTCAAACTTCTAAAGGGCTATAACTTCGTTAATTTAATTTTACCAGAAAAATGTTAAAGGAAAAAAAGATTTCTTTTGATCAGATCTACTCACTGTTAAAATTAATGACTCAACTTCGAAGTATAAATCAACAAAAAATCGAAATACCCGTAAAGAGGTCTGTTCATTGATCACATAGGAAGGCAAGCAACATAAAGCTTGCCCGATTCTGTTGCATTCTGTACTAAACTGTAGATAGAACGTGGAATATAGCGAGGCTTTCTTTTTTCAGCGCTCAAATAAAGAAAATGCGGAAGGAAGAAAATCCACAGATCGAGGAAGGCAAAACGTTGTTTAGCTGCTATATTTGTAACTATACCACCCATTGTAAAAAGGGTTTAATCGTCCATATCAGAAAGAACAAATGCTATTTAGGATTAAAATTAGGCAAATCACAATATTTTTCCGACAAACCGTGCCGATCAGATAAATATTGCTGTATCAAATGTAATAAGGTGTTCAAAAACAAAAAACCTCTGGATAATCATGTGATCAAAAAGCATGCCGAATCAGTTTCTAAGCAGCACATATGCAAGCATTGTAATATGTCATTTAAGCGTATTAAATCGCTCTTCGATCATATGCTAAAAAAACATTCTAACTGTAGCGGAACAATTTCTTGGAAGATATATGAATGTATGCATTGTCCACTCAAAACAACTACGAGAAGTCATTTTATAGATCACATTACAACGCATAATCGAAATCCATTCATGTGTATAATTTGTTACAAATTATATAAAACTGAATCACGTTTAGATCATCACATTTTACAGAAGCATCCTGATCATACCGCTTCTGTATCCAATAAGATACGAAAATGTACGCAATGTGAATATAAAACTACAGAAGCACGGTATTTAGCTAAGCATATGTCGAAACATAATGAGATCAAGTGTACAAAGTGTGACACATCTTTCTCAACGAAAGTATCATTGAACAATCATATTTTACAAAAGCACCCTGATTTTTTCCCATATGTATCTGAATATAGACGCGCGAATCCTGGAACTAAGTTTACGTGTATAAACTGCGACGCGTCGTTCACAACAAAACGCGCGTTAGACAACCACATTTTGCAGAAGCATCCTGAGCTTACTACTTCTATGACTCATAAGATACACAAATGTGTACATTGTGAATATAAAACGACTTTTTCTAGACAGTTAGCTAACCATATGACAAAGCATATAGTAAAAACCGCCAAGCACTCGTGCACAGAGTGTGATGCGTCATTTATCCAGAAAACGTCTCTACACGATCACATTTTACAGAAGCATCCCGAGCTTACTGCGTCTGTTTCTAGTAAAATACATGAATGTACACATTGTGAATATCAAACTACGTACGTGCATTATTTAGCTAAGCATATCATGAAACATAACAAAGCCAAGCTCACGTGTACAAGGTGTGATGAGTCATTTACGTTTAGATCGTCATTAAACAACCACATTTTACAGAAACATCGTGATGCTTTACTGTCCCAAGACACGTCTAAGAATCACTTAGCTGAATATGTAGTAAAAGAAAAACCTATTGAAATACAGTGTTCTAAGTGTGATATGCCTTTTACGGATCAAAAGGTATTGGACAACCATATTTTACAAAAACATCCTGAGCTTGCCACAACTGTGTCTAGTAAAATACATGAATGTAAATATTGTAAATATAAAACTACACACGAGTGGTGTTTGGCTAGGCATATGATAAAGCATACTGTACAGATGTAACACCTGAAAATTATTCTGTGGTTTATTAACGTTGTGGCCTTGAGGGTTACATCATACAGACACAAACTAAACTGTATCCATCGAAGAAACAAAGTAAAATCAAACATATACACCCGTATTGCACGTGATCAAGAACTTAACCGTAGGAGACGCTACAGGGCCGTATCAAGCTATTGTGACTGATCTATCAAAAAATGTCGTACAAGATATGTGTTGCTGTAAATTCTATCAAAAGCATAGTAAATTATCAGGAATATACCACGCCTTTCTAATCATATTTCGACATTAGGAATCAGTGCAAAAAATTCTGTATTCACCATTTCAGCAAAATGTTACTAAAACGCACACGAAAAAAACTTGTGGACCATCTCAACTGAAATTGTTCATATTTTCTTATTAACTTACATATATACCCAATAATATTTACAAATCAACCTTCTATTCACAATGCAGAGCAAATTTTTTTGAGCAAATAGAAACTACAGACGTAGTAGTAGTAGTACAAAAGTTTATTACAGACTCCATAAAGTTTGTTAGTTTGATTGCTATTAAAATTTACATGAGAAATAGGAAGAAGGTCAAAATGGCACTATTATGCTTTGGAACTCCTAAATTAACCCTAATTTTGTGTAATTATAAATTTGGAATTTCCACATTAATAACTAGAAACTTACACTTTGATTGCAGTCTATAATGAACTTACCTGTCTTGCCAAAAAGCCCGTTAAACTGCCAGTCTTAATGGTATCAATCGATTTATATGCTGTATTCCGAGGAGCTTGAATCATCAGAATTGTTGATGTCAATTATAAGGGGTTCAACTTGGGTGTCAATGATATTGTCCATATCCCACATTTTGGTTTCAACCTTCTCTTGGACATGGTCAATACATGTTCTCCATTTTGCTGGCGTAATTCTATCGACAGCAACATCAAACAGTTTTTTAAGGTCAGAAAACTTAAAAGTGCTGTTATTTGACGCCACGTATTGCTTGATGTCGGCCCAAATCAACTTGATAGGATTCAGTTCGCAGTGATAGGGAGGCAGCCTGAGAATCGTTTTATTTTGGTTTTTAGCCATTTCGTCAACAATTTTTAAATCATATTTATACTTATGTCGCTTGACTATATTTATCAGCTCAGCTTTGACCATTGTTTGGTCGAAGTCGATCTTCTTTGAGACAAGCCACTGTTGAATGTCTGCCTTTTTGGTGGCCATTGTTGGAATTTTTTCCAATTTTCTGGAGTGGTACGGGGCATTATCCATCACAATAATTGCGTTATCATCAAGTGTCGGCAAAATTTTTTGAACCAATTTTCAAATGAGTTACCATCCATTTCTTCGTGATAGTCTCCAGTTTTTTTGGATTCAAATGCCCACAATGCTTCAGGAACAAATCCATCTACGCTACCTATGTGGCAAATGATCAGGCGTTTTCCCTTGCCTGAAAGTAATTAGTTATTTTACTTCTCAGCGAGCACACTAAATGACGAAATTAAGCAACTTACTCTTTTTAGGTTAGTGTAGGATAGGGTCTTAGATTAGTTTTTGGGTGAAGGAAATACTCAGAAACTTGGATGAGATAGCAAAACTGAGTTCGGAGCTTCCAAATCATTGATTCGATCAGAAAATGAATTATCTGCATCCAAAAAAGTTCATATACTTCGAAACTTACCTGCAGGATTTTTCAATCCCGTCGCAAGGCCATCTAAAAAAGCCTGCCTTGAGGACCTCACAGATCTGTCTACCCAAACCTTTCCCTGCGTATGCCCCGCGTTCACCCATGTTTCGTCTAAATAATAAATTTTTCTTCCTTCAGCGCGGAATTGCCTAATTTTTCTAAGGTATTCTCTCCTCCAGATAACAATTTCCTCCTTTTCTATCAATAAACTATTCCTTCATCTTTTCAAAAATCGAAAGTCTAGTTCTTTCAACAGCTTATGGAACGTAGATCTTTTAAAATTTGGCAGGTCCTCATCATCATTCACTTGCTTCAATAATTTATCTATTGTAGGTATTTCATTCCTGAAGAAAAAGTGATGTACTTTTCTTCTAATGGCACTTTTGTCAAAGTCATCTATTTTTTCGATGATTTTTTTTCTCGCTGGATATGTTTTTGGCTCAGATAGTGAGTGATTTTATCTATATTCCTTCAAGATTTTGTAAACACTTGATCGACCTACTCCAGAAATTTCAGCAACCTTACATACGATATTTTCTATAGCCAATCCACTATTCTCTTGCATCTGGTTCTTGTAGATATTTAGAATAATTTGTTTTTCACCTGCGCTAAGATGAAGCTTTTTAGCCCTTTTTCTGGGTGACGTTAAGCTGATTTCAACCACTTCATCAGCTGTATCTGTTGCAGACATTTTAGACTAATATTAAATTTCCGCAAGAAAAATCAAGTCAAGACGTGCATAAAACGTTCGCGCTCATAAACGGGTATCCGTAACTGATTACAATCCTGTGCGTGGTGACGAACCATCAACGTGACGCTGAGAGTTCCCTCTACTATGCAGCGTTGCCAGGCTTAATGTCACAATGATCATGTTTTATTGGGAAAATTGTCAGAAATCGCCGAATGTTGAACAGAAACATTACAAGAAGTCTAACCTTGAAATGTGAGGCTACAAATCGATATTCTTATAGGGGGGAAGGGTAGGGAGCTGTTATGGTTCCTATTAACCTTGGTGAAAGTTGGAAATGGTAATATCATATATGGCATACATTCGGTTGAAGGTGTGTGCACGGAAAATAGATTGCGGATAGGATTTTAATAGATAAATCTGCACAAAAAAACACAAAAGGAGATTTTTTTATTTCCCTGAAGAATATCTCAAGGTTATTTCAGATGTACTCATCGAAACTTTATGGAAGGATTATCGAAACCTTATTTTCAATTGCGATAGAGCCACATACCTCGACATCGCATTAATGTGAAAAATAAGACAATAGAAAAAAATTCCCTCACTGATGCTATCTCTTAGGAAAAATTTAACTATAAAGATTGCACAAAAATTTTCTTCACCTTTTTGAGCTTGTTTTCGCATCTCCGTATATGCCGTTCATAATTTGCCATAGATCAAATTGGAATATACCTTTGTGATGCCATTTATTGTTATATAATGTCCTTTACAACAGTTATTGCACGTATTGCACCAACAGATTGATTTGTGATCCATGCGAATGTGATCAACCACTCTGGCGAAAACTCGCCGAGCGTGGCAACCGTGCGACTTTGTCTGGAGGCTCGTCGCTACAAGCCAATCAGGAAGAGGCCGACAGAGCGCCATGGCTACCGATCACGCGTTGATCACGAATCAACCACTGTTTACGATTACTTTGTAGCTTAGATACACTTTAGGTCTCGATGATCACCGCCATCAAAAATTGCGTTTTTTTCATCTAAAATAGAAGTTGAATCTCTCTGAAGCTACTGAAGTTTATTTTATTTTTATTCTAAAAAAATCGCGTACAACAATGTCATTCTCCCTCATTTGTTATACATATTGTTCACAAGGAAAACTTTTTTTTGAAAATTACGAATATTACAAAATAAAGCATGAGAATCATCTTAACTAAAAATGAATATATGTAATAGAATAAATTTTATGTTGAAAGAACTGCAATGGTTAAATATCAAAAATTTCATAAACTACTTGGTTTTCAATATCATATACAAGTTAAAAAATCATCTACCAAATCACTTATAAAATTTTAATTGAACAATGAGTACCATAGTAATTCCACTAGAGGGAGTATAGACTCATTTACAAAATTTTAGTAGCAATATAACAAGTCAGTATTTTAAAAGGTACGAATTTAATAAATTAAGTAAGACGTGTGCCAGTTTGAAAATGTTCAAAGGGAAATTGGAAAAATATTTCATGGAAAACCAGAATGCATGGTAGCGACATTTTGTACAAAAATATGTAGTCTTGAACACATAATATATTATGTGATATATTGTGTAACATGGATTGTAGCATTAATGATAAATAAATCTAAAACAAACAAACAAGAAGTTTCAATACAGTAAATCAAAATTAATTTCTTTTTTCAGTACAAACGTAGAGAAAAAGCGGGGAAAGGGACAAGATCCACCGATTGAAGAAGGAAAACAGTACCGTTTAAATAAATATTGTTGCGTCAAGTGTAATGAGGTGTTCAAAAACAAAATCTTACTAGATGATCATGTGGTTAGAAAGCATACCGAATTGATTCCATCAGTTTCATCTAAAATACGAGAATGTAAATTCTGTGGTTTCAAAACCGTACTGAAGAAAGCTTTAACCAGTCATGTGTCGAAGCACACTAATAGTAAATTTTTGACTCATCATATATGCAAATATTGCAATTCGTCATTTAAAAAAATGACAACTCTCTTTGACCATATTCTAGAGAAACATCCAAGATTTAGCGGGTCAGTATCTAGTAAGGTATACGAATGTATACATTGCGCAGTCAAAAAAACCAATAGGGCTACCTTTATCAGGCACATGAAACAACATGATACTCAAAAGTGTATAAACTGTGACGTAACATTTAAAACTAAATTACGTTTATATCACCACATTGTACAGAAGCATCCTGAGCTTACTGCGTCTATGTCTTATAAGACATTGACAAAACGTATAATAAAATCTGCCATGCACATGTGCACAAAGTGTGACGCGTCATTTATTAAGAAAACGTCATTACACAATCACATTTTACAGAAGCATCCCGAACTCACTGCGTCTGTGTCTAGTAAAATACATGAATGTACACATTGTGAATATAAAACTGCATACTCGCACTTTCTAGCGAGGCATAACATGAAGCATACTGGCGTTAAGCTCACTTGTACAAAGTGTGATGCGTCTTTTACAAGAAAAGAATCCTTGGACAACCACATCTTGCAAAAACACCCCGAGTTTACCGCTTCGGTGTCTCGTAAGGTACACGAATGCACACTTTGTGAATATAAAACTACGTACGTGCAGTATTTAGCTAAGCATACGAAGAAACATAACAAAGCGAAGCTCTCGTGCACAAGGTGTGATCAGTCATTTACGTTTAGATCGTCATTAAACAATCACATTTTACAGAAACATCGTGATGCTATACTGTCGCATGAGTGCGAAGCTACGTCCAAGAATCAGTTAGCTGATTACATAATAAAAGAAAAACCTATTGAAATACCGTGTTCTAAGTGTAATATGTCTTTTATGGATCGAAAGGTATTAGATAATCATATTTTACACAAGCATCCTGAATTTACCGCAACAGTGTCTAGTAAAATACATAAATGTACACATTGTAAATATAAAACTACACACGAGTGGTGTTTGGCTAGGCATATGATAAAACATACTTTATAGATGTAAAACCTAAAAATTGTTCTGAGCTTGCCTCGTAGACGAAAACATTAAAGTTAATTACATTGTGGCCACGAGGGTTACATTATACAAAATCAAACTAGGGCTCGATAATCACATTCTGCAAATATAATTGCATATGTATCTTCTAAGGTTCATGACTGTATATTGCAAATATAGAACTGTATAAACGTACAGAGAAGTTGTGTTAGGAAAACTGCTATAATTTAACACGTTGACCGCTAACTAAGAGCTATCTCGTCCTCTGTATGCTTGCCATGTTTGTGACGATTAAAATCTGAATATATCAGTGCTAATATCGATAAATGGCTTCTTGATAAAGAACAAAAAATCAATGCTAGCTTGCATCAACAGAGAATTTATTAAAAAACGATCAAAAAAATATAATTATAAAAATTCAAACCCAAGAAATCAAATAATATTTTGTTTGTGGAACTTCTTAAAATTTCCTTGGCAGTCAACGTGATAACGTGTACATATTTTGCTGACGATGGTATTATGAGCATTTGTATGGTCAAATTCTAGTACCCCGGAACTGTGTGCATTGGTGTTTTACAGGAGAGGTTTTTTTTAATTTGTAAGGTGCTAAATATGATTCAAAAGGTTAGAAAACTTTTTTTTATATTACATTTTGACCATGAAATGATAAAATAAAAGTTTTTTTTTCGAAATTTGTTTTTTATTGAATTAAGTATGGTACGGTTTATTAGGACAAAAATAATACAAAAATGTAACGATACGGGATATTATAATATAGTCAAAATCACGAAAGATGACTCTTACGTCATACCATAAATTGTACTGAAGTAATCAATGGACGTACGTCGATGATAAAATCACGACGTCAGGACATAATGACAACAAATTTATATTATGATTTTGCGAAGTTAGGTTATTTCACTGATTATTTTTATTTTCATTTTATTTCATGGTTTTGAGTGATACGTCAATAATAATTTTAGTGGGCAACTTTTGTTTTGAAAAAAACATGAATAGAATACCTTAAGATAGGAACACCAAAGACCAAAGTATTATTCGAAAACAACCTAACCTGCTTTAACATAACCTAACTATTCATCTTTCAAATATGATTGATCATGCAACATAAAAACATCGTCTATGTCGGATACATGCAAATTATCAATACAGTTTGTTTAGACAATAAAATTCTGTGTGTCTCTGTCTAACATATCTGAAACTTCATTAAAAATATTCACAAATCGCTGTCGTTTGTCTTTACTACAGACTAAAATGATTTAACACTAAAGGAAAAAGATTAAACCAAACCCTTATTAACTTGTAGAGTAAACGTACAACTGAATGGCGCGAAAAGTAAAATTTGAATTTTTTGCAGATACGGTGTTAGAATTCAATATGTATACATCAAAGTGAAAATAGTTCTACGAATGGTGTAATGTGGCATTTGGAAGTAAATCAATATCTGCTGATCTCATGATGAAACAATATGGCCGCGTTCATCAGAACATAGCATATCGTGGGCAATCACTAATATTGATAACGTACATTTACAAATACCTGTACATGTGCAGTTTTCACTTTCAGACCAGGGAGTCTTAACTGAAATACTGGGATTTATCACCAAATATAAATTTTGTTACGATGAAATAAATATAGTCAGAATCACGAAAGATGACCTTTACGTCCTACCATAAATTGTACTGAAGTAATCAATGGACGTACGTCGATGATAAAATCACAATGTCAGGAATGATTCTGTTTGTCTCTGTCTAACATATCTGAAACTTCTATAAAAATATCCACAAATCGCTGTCGTTTGTCTTTAATACAGACTAAAATGATGAATTAATCGTCATCTTTCGTGATTTCCGCTATAGCAAAATATTATATAATTGATTTGTCACGATATGTGCCACATTTTTATACTATATTAAATGAATAAATTTGTAGGTCAAAACGTCGTCAAACATCGCGTTTTTTTAATATAAAATAGAAATCGAACCTAAGCTACTGAAGCGCTGCAGTAAATTGTTAATATGCACTATTGGTCAAAGAAGTTTAAATAGAATAAATCAAATTTAATTTCTTTTTTCAGTACACGCATAGAGAAAACGCGGGGAAACGGACAAGAAAATCCACCGATTGAAGAAGGAAAACAGTACCGATTAAATAAATATTGTATCAAATGTAATGAGGTGTTCACAAGCAAAATCTTACTAGATAATCATGTGATTAGAAAGCATGCCGACTTGATTGCGTCAGTTACGTCTAAAATACATGAATGTAAATACTGTGGTTTCAAAACCGTACTTAAAAAATGTATAACCAGTCATGTGTCGAAGCACACTAATACTAAAGTATTTGCCCTTCACATATGCAAACATTGCAGTACGTCATTTAAAAAAATTACAACTCTCTTTGACCATATTCTAGATAAACATCCAAAATTTAGCGAGACAGTTTCTAGTAAGATATATGAATGTATACATTGCGCAGTCAAAAAAACCAATAGGGCTACCTTTATCAGGCACATGAGACAACATGATACTCAAAAGCCTTTAGAATGCATAAACTGTGACTTATCATTTAAAACTAAACTACGTTTAGATCACCACATTTTACAGAAGCATCCTGAGCTTACTGCTTCTATGTCTTATACTTATAAGACATTGACAAAACGTATAATAAAATCTGCCATGCACATGTGCACAAAGTGTGATGCGTCATTTATTAAGAAAACGTCATTACACAATCACATTTTACAGAAGCATCCTGAGCTGACTACGACTGTGTCTAGCAAGATACATGAATGTACACGTTGTGAATATAAAACTACACAAACGCATTGTTTAGTTAGGCATATCGTGAAACATAATAGAACTACCTTCACGGATACGAAGTGTGATACGTCATCTACGTCATTAGACAACCACATTTTACAGAAATGTTCTTTATCTGCCCCACTTTCACATGAGCATCAGTTAGCTGATCATATAATAAAAGAAAAACGTATTGAAGTTACGTGTACAAAGTGTGACGTGTCATTTGCAAGTAAACAATCTTTAGACAACCACATTTTACAGAAGCATCCCGATCTTACCGCGTCTGTGACTAGTAAGATACATGAATGTACACATTGTAAATATAAAACTACACACGAGTGGTGTTTGGCTAGGCATATGATAAAACATACGGTACAGATGTAACACCTGAAAACTATTCTGTCGTTGCCTCGAAGACGCAAAAATTAAGGTTTATTAACATTGTGGCCATGAGGGTTACATTATACAGACATGTGCCATTTTTGATTTCGTTTGAGCCATGCAACAGACACCACTATTCACTCACGCGTTACCGACTGACACTGACTGTATACAACTGAATAAAATAATTGTAAAAACATCGTTCCAAATTCTTTCGCTTTTTTGTTTCTGATGCGATGAACCGATAAGGCGGATTATATCCGTTGTTGCCAAACACGAGCACATTTTTTTTTTTTTTTTTATATCGAAACAGCCGCGCAGGCAGAAGCCTAAATGCCGGAACACCGCGGCTGCTATGATGATCCCAAAGAAATTTTGTTAATACGATTTTTGAACTGCCTAAGGTTAGTAGAACAGGGAAAAGCTTCCTCCCGTAGATTGTTCCACAATCTAGACACCCTCGGGACAAAGGAGCGGTCGTATCGTCCTGTTCTGGATGTACGAAGTTTGACACGGTTAGGATGGGACGCCGAAGTCAGGCGGGTCTGTCTGGCAGGCACATCGCGCGGCGGCATCATGGAAGAGAGCTCTGAGGAGCAAAGCCCGTTGGTGTAGCGATAGAAAAGAGCTAGATCGCCGACGGCCCGCCGGTGCGAAAGAGTCCCGAGACTGTCTGTTAGAGAAGAGTCATCGATCAGTCGGACCGCCCTCCTCTGGACAGCATCGAGCATGGACAATGTAGTCGGGGCGGCAGCACCCCAAATGTGTGAGCAATACTCGAGGCTGGGCCTTATCTGGGCCTTGTATAGAGTGAGAAGGTCATGCGGAGAAAAGTACTTCTTAGCCCTAAACAAATAGCCTAGCTTTTTCCCAGCAGCTGCAGCTATTGAAGAGATGTGTTCGTGCCAGATCAGGTCCTCGGTGATCTGGACTCCGACCAGCCGAAATGAATGGCTCTTTGGTAGAACTCGACCGTCCATCGAAACTGTATGAGCGCTAGGACGCTTTTTGTTCGTCAAAGTACAGTACTGTGTTTTGGAAGCATTGAACTGTACAAGATTGTTGCGTCCAGAAGCAGTGATAGCCTCCAGGTTTCTTGTCAGAGAAGAAGTTGTCGCTAGTCTTCTTTTTTCCAGCTCAGCGGCAGAGATCGGCTTGTCACTCTGAATTCCTGCATGTAGAGTGCTGTCATCAGCGAAGCTGTGGATTGGGTTGATCGTGCAGGAAAGGAGGTCGTTGATATGTAAGAGAAACAGTGTTGGAGTCAAGACCGATCCCTGGGGAACACCCGCGTTGACGTTGTGGGATGAAGAGGAGAATCCGTCAATTACGACGGATATCTTGCGGCCAGAGATAAAGTCAGCCACCCATCTGCAAAGCTTTTCTGGGAGGCCGTAGGATGGAAGTTTGCTCAAGAGGGCAGCGTGCCACAGCTGATCGAACGCTTTCGTGATGTCAAGAGCAACGACATGAGCCTCACCATGAGACTGGATGAGTTTACTCCACAGTTGCGTGACGTAAGCTAGGAGGTCCCCTGTGGATCGTTGGTGCCGGAAACCATACTGCCTGTCGCTAATCAAGCTGTGACCTTCGAGGTAGTCCAGAAGCTCGCGATTTATGCACCTCTCCATCACTTTACTTATAACAGAAAGCAGAGCTATAGGCCTGTAGTTGTAAGGGTCGGTTTTAGATCCTTTTTTGGGATGGGCTGTACATGAGCAAATTTCCAGTTTTCTGGGAAGGTGCCGGATTCATAAGATATCTGGAAGAGACGCGAAAGAACTGGAGCAAGCTCAGCTGCACATCTCTTCAGTACAATGGCAGGAATCAAGTCCGGATCAGAAGCTTTGTTGATGTCGAGCGACAAGAGCTCTCGTCTTACGGTCTTATGCCTGAATGTTACCTCCCGCATAGTGTGGGGAACCCTTTGAATTGACGGCACTTGGGCGTTGGTGGGGACGCCCATGGTGGAGTTGGCAGCAAAGATCTTGGCTAGCACTTCCGCCTTGGCCTTTGAGTCGAATACAATAGTTCCATCCTGACACGTAAGTGGTGGAAGGCTACTGTGTGAGAAGTTCTTTTCAAACTGCTTGGCCAGCGTCCAGAAAGACCGACTGCCATTGCTCTGCGACATTACCCTGTGCCTAACTTTTATATCATGCTGGGTTTTGGCATTGCGAACCGCTTCGTTATATTTGTTTCTGGACTCGAAGTCGGCTTGTCTGTTCTCTACAGTGGGGTTTTGTAAGTAGGTTCTTGATCTTCTGCTGGCGAGCAGTGTCACACGATTTGTTGAACCAGCCGTTGGATCCTGGTTTAGGAACTTTCACTGTGTGAGGGATGTATTCCTCCATTCCGACGTGGATAATTTCGGTTATTGAAGAACAGACAGTCGACGCATCCGCGTCAGTGAAACAGACATCTCTCCAAGGAAAGCTAGAGAAGAAGTCTCTGAGCCCCTCCCAGTCGGCATGTCCGTAATGCCAAGTTTTGCGGCCTGTGCGAGTTTCTGCTGCCACAGCGGCTTCTGACTGAAACCTAACCTCCACAACACCGTGATCTGAGTTACCCAGGGGGGACAGGACAGCAGTGCTGTAAGGGGCAGGATGAGTGGTCAGAAAGAGATCCAGCAGGCTACTGGCGTGTGACGAGACGCGGGGGAAAAAAGTAGGGCTCGTCACCAGCTGGGTCAGCCCTTGAGTAAGAGCGAACGCTTCGACTGCACGACCTGCTGCATCAGTCTTATTTGAGCCCAACCAAAGCTCATTATGGGCATTGAAATCACCGAGAAGAACTACCTCTGAAGCGGGGTGATTGATGTTCAGGAAGTCGATCTGGACGGCGAGGTATTCGAGTAGGTCATCCCAGTTATGGTTCGAGGGAGAGCGATAAAGGCAGCAAATAAATTTGGGTGATGTTTTGGAGTTGAGGCGAAGCCACAGAATGTCCTTCCGGCCTGATTCCAAAGAAAGATCCCTGGAGCAGGAAAGACTGCTGCGGACAAAAGCCACAACTCCCCCGTTCTTTCTCAGATTGGAGTGCACCTCGTAGTTTGGGAAGTTGAGATGGTTAATCGGTGCAGTCTCTGAGATTTTTGTCTCCGCCAAGAAAAGCACGACGGGACGATTGGATTGCAGGTAGTGATGAACAGCATCAATGTTGCTGTTGATCCCGCAGATGTTCGAAAAACAAATTTTATCTTCGATGTTGTTCCCTCGAGCCCACCCTCCACCCGGACATTCCGAGAGTGGAGTGAGTTTACGTTCGGAGTTTTTAGTGCTCGAGGGATCCATCATCATTAGTTTCTTTGTTTTGGTAGATAACCGACTGCATAGCTTAGGTGTGGAAACATGCGGACATTTATAAGTAAAGCTAGCGGGTGGTACTGCCTCGGTCGACTGGTCCTTGTCTACCACCTTCTTTTTACGTGTTAGTGATGTTAAATAGACCTAAAGTGGCCCGTTGGCGGATTTGTACCGCCACCCGGCAATCGGTACTGAGGTATTCCTTAACGCGTGCACAATCACTTGGACGGGAAGAAGTTGTATACTGGATACAACAACTTCCGGAACAAGCATTTGCCACGGCCCTCGCTCAGTAGGGCATAATAAACATAATATTATTATTGAGACAGGGCGGTACTCAAACTTCCAAAGGGCTATAACTTTGTTACTTTAATTTTACCAGAAAAATGGTAAAGGAAAAAACATTTCTTTTGATCAGATCTACTCACTGTTAAAATAAATGACTCAACTTCGAAGTATGCAATAGAATAAATTTTATGTTGAAAGAACTGTAATGGTTAAATATCAAAAATTTCATAAACTACTTGGTTTTCAATATCATATACAAGTTAAAAAATCATCTACCAAATCACTTATAAAATTTTAATTGAACAATGAGTACCATAGTAATTCTACTAGAGGGAGTATAGACTCATTTACAAAATTTTAGTAGCAATATAACAAGTCAGTATTTTAAAAGGTACGAATTTAATAATAATAAATGTTCAAAGGGAAATTGGAAAAATATGTCATGGAATACCAGAATGCATGGTAGCGACATTTTGTACAAAAATATGTAGTCTTGAACACATAATATATCGACGGTGAGCTGGCATTATCTCCTAACTGAAATTTGGGAATTTTACAGGACGATAGAAAAACGATATACAAGCCAAAATAAATATAGTTCACTACATTTCTTTCTTACATTTATATTAATAGAGTCAATTGGAATCAAATTTTCCACAATTACATCTAGAATATTTACTTTTGAATTGTAGATAGGATAATATCAAATATAAGTTTTTTCAAATAGGATATTTTGCATGAATTTTTATATCTAGATAGGAGGTATTCAATGAGAAACAACAGTCATTCATCTCAAACTTTAATGATATAATTATAGTAGTAAACGCATAAAAGCAAACAAAGTTATCTTCGTCGAGTCGCAATACCTACAGTATTGACAGACACTCCTCACTGATACAACAAGTTGTCATAAAATCCATGTGTATCCTTTGGTAGAACCGATTTGAGGTCTTGGAGGTGATCCCATTTTTCTTTCTTAATTTTGCAATGATCTTTTAACAGTTGAGGGTAGGCACATTTTTGGGCCTGAGAGGTATGTCTTGAAATGGTTCGTCATAAGATAACTTCACTTGAATAGCTGGATATGGTTCATATTCATATTTGATGCATTTTATGTCTAAAATGACAGGTTCAAATGCTTTTTTCCCGGCCTGATAGACGTGTATCGTAAGAACTTGCTTTCAGCATAGTTTTTAAAAAAGCTGTGCTCTATAACATTCACCTCGTAAGGTTTTGGATGAACTCTACATTCCTTTGTAACTTTGGCGTAGTCACTTGGAAGATGTATTTCCCTATTTTTCAGCTTTCTTTCAATCAAGCTATGAACCGAGTCACATTCCATTTGAGTGTGACCCGGTTCCAAGTATTTCTGGTAAATGTTCACCTGATGTTTAGCGGAAAAATTGAGCAATGCATTTGACAATACGTTATTTCTATTTTGAAAGCCACATCCGTCGGAATAAATTATTATGGGCAATTTAGACGAGGTTAGGCATTTATTTTCCAGGAAGTCAATGATGCATGATGTGAATGCAACCAATTGGTTATTTTGGTCTTCAGAAAACCAATAACACGTCACATCTTTACTAGAAAGATTGTAGATGGTGAAGTTGTGGCAGCACAGCTTTGTCTTGAAATAGGTTTTGTTTGCAGGGAGACAAGGTGATAATTTGACAGCTTGTAAGTCCATGCTCAACACAATACATGAGCCGTTCTCTGCCAGATCTTTATCCTTTGCCTTCTCCTGCCTTGCTCTATTTTTGTTTGCAATGTGAATTCTATATTTTTCTTCATCAGTGTTAGTATACTTATATGAAAAACAAACATTGCATTGGTCCTTTTTAGGCTGGAACAGTGAAAGATTTTTTTCGTTAAATGTTTTTCTGAATATTTTTCGGTTAAGTGGCTTCATATCTTCTATTTCCCCATTTCCCTTGCAAAAGTCTTCATATACTTTGTACTTTTTCCTCTAGGTATAATTTTGTAGTCTCCTTTCTACAATAGTGGGCTGGCAATTTTGGTAGTTTATTTAAAAACATCCTTAAATGGTCATATTGCTTGGAGTATCGTGCTTTATTATAGCTCAATCTATCTTTTTGTACTATATCTGTGCCCATGCCATAAGAACTCTTAGAAACCCACTCTTGAATTGTCTTATATCCTATATCTAATGTATTGACAAACATTTTCCTACATACTTGAAGCTGTTCTTCCCCATTGTTTAAAAAATATGTATAGGTATTTTGTCTTCTTGATGTTTCTTCACATCTAGCCTTTTTTCCTTTAAAGACATTTGAGGATATAAACACTTTTCTTTGTGCCCAGTTCATTTCATTCCAGAATTTTTTGAATATATTTTTTCTGGTTTCCTCTTTGAACTTGAAACAGTTCTTATTTTTGCTCTTGTTACATCTTGCTGAGTTACAAGCCATTCCCATCTCTCTTTCTCTTCTGATTGTATCGTGTACTATTTTTTCGCCTTTCTTTTTCCTATAACCCAAGTATTCTTTACCTTCCATTCTAAGCTGCTTATTTTTCAAACGTTTCCATTCAGCTGGATCTGCTATCTTCTTTCTTTTTCTGGTCTCGTTCATCTTCTCAATATCTGCTAGTAAACGATCTTCGGCTAGTTCTCCCGGTTCAGAATTACTATAATCAATTTCATTTCTATCTTTCAACACATCTTCATTTACTGGTTCAGCATGTGGAGAATCACTATCACATCGCTTTATATTTCATATGGCACCAGACTGACACCACCTAGAAAATTGGAAAAAAAAGACATCAAGCTCATGGACCTTAACCGTAAGCGTCAGTTACCGAGATATGAAAAGCTTCACAAAAAACTAATATAAAGCTGAGTTCTGTTTGTAATTAATCAGTTTTATAGAAAGATGAAACTCATAATTCAAAAACAAATAATATAATTAAACTGAAATTTTGACACTCGGCGACATGCCAATGTCAAGGAAAAGTTTTACTTTAATAGTTACATTTCAACTAGAACACGAAACAGCAAACGATGTGTCTGAAATTACCTTTGAGGATGCTTTGATTCTCTGAGCAAGCTGTACTGAGCTTATAGTTCGTATTGATGTAAACAGATGGACAGACATTTTGACGGCAGTTGACATCTGGTACATCGAAGTTGATAACATTCATTTCTTGGATATCTGAGTTTTGGGGTATATCCTCGGTTATATCCATACAGACACTTTGATTACTGGATGCTAAAGAATCTTGACTTCCGCGGCAAGCTTGGAAGAACATTCTTTCTGAATCTTCAAAAATCGGGATGTCATCACTTGGGCTGCTCAAGCAGTTTTCAAAATCTAGAGATAGTACATTTCCATCTATTAAGTCAGACGGCATTATAATCGGAATATTTTCGATGTCAAACACGTGCTCGTTTGGATCTTGATCTGCTTTATTAAGACTTGTATCCATATTTTCAATACTAACTTCAAAATTTCTATTTTCATGGCAATATCTCCTATTAGCGTCCTTTACGTATTCCTGCCAAATTTTCGCACCAAGTAAAATCTCCCACTAGAACAATACACAAATAACGTCACTCAACCATTTAATAAAAGGGTAATATTATAGCATATAGTCACAAAATACTTCGTTTTAGTTATAGTTTCATAAGCAACAATAAAACCTACCTTGTGATGATAATGAATCAGTGAATAGACGGCTGGTATACAAGTCACGACGTGAACCGTATCATCACCCATTCATAACTGCGTCATAGGAGGTATTGCAATCCTTTTTTCCTAGACCATTTAGGTGGGAGAAATTTCAAGACTAAATATCGCGCTAAACTGTTGTTCTATGCTGAAAACTGCGCTTACGAGACATGCCTAGCATAGATTGCGATAGGAAGTCACAAAAATCTCATTTTGGCAAAAAAATCAGATAGGAGGTATTGCCAGCTCACCGTCGATATTATGTGATATACTGTGTAACATGGATTGTAGCATTAATGATCAAAAACAAACAAACAAGAAGTTTCAATAAAGTAAATCAAAATTAATTTCTTTTTTCAGTACACACGTAGAGAAAAAGCGGGGAAAGGGACAAGATCCATCGATTGAAGAAGGAAAACAGTACCGTTTAAATAAATATTGTTGTGTCAAGTGTAATGAGGTGTTCAAAAACAAAATGTTACTAGATGATCATGTGGTTAGAAAGCATACCGAATTGATTCCATCAGTTTCATCTAAAATACGAGAATGTAAATTCTGTGGTTTCAAAACCGTACTGAAAAAAGCTTTAACCAGTCATGTGTCGAAGCACACTAATAGAAATTTTTTTACTCATCATATATGCAAACATTGCAATTCGTCATTTAAAAAAATGACAACTCTCTTTGACCATATTCTACAGAAACATCCAAGATTTAGCGGGTCAGTATCTAGTAAGGTATACGAATGTATACATTGCGCAGTCAAAAAAACCAATAGGGCTACCTTTATCAGGCACATGAAACAACATGATACTCAAAAGTGTATAAACTGTGACGTAACATTTAAAACTAAATTACGTTTATATCACCACATTTTGCAGAAGCATCCTGAGCTTGCTTCTATGTCTTATAAGACATTGACAAAACGTATAATAAGATCTGCCATGCACATGTGCACAAAGTGTGATGCGTCATTTATTAAGAAAACGTCATTACACAATCACATTTTACAGAAGCATCCCGAACTCACTGCGTCTGTGTCTAGTAAAATACATGAATGTACACATTGTGAATATAAAACTGCATACTCGCACTTTCTAGCGAGGCATAATATGAAGCATACTGGCGTTAAGCTCACTTGTACAAAGTGTGATGCGTCTTTTACAAGAAAAGAATCCTTGGACAACCACATCTTGCAAAAACACCCCGAGTTTACCGCTTCGGTGTCTCGTAAGGTACACGAATGCACACTTTGTGAATATAAAACTACGTACGTGCAGTATCTAGCTAAGCATACGATGAAACATAACAAAGCGAAGCTCTCGTGCACAAGGTGTGATCAGTCATTTACGTTTAGATCGTCGTTAAACAATCACATTTTACAGAAACATCGTGATGCTTTACTGTCGCATGAGTGCGAAACTACGTCCAAGAATCAGTTAGCTGATTACATAATAAAAGAAAAACCTATTGAAATACCGTGTTCTAAGTGTGATATGTCTTTTATGGATCGAAAGGTATTAGATAATCATATTTTACACAAGCATCCTGAATTTACCGCAACAGTGTCTAGTAAAATACATAAATGTACACATTGTAAATATAAAACTACACACGAGTGGTGTTTGGCTAGGCATATGATAAAACATACTTTATAGATGTAAAACCTAAAAATTGTTCTGAGCTTGCCTCGTAGACGAAAACATTAAAGTTTACTAACATTGCGGCCACGAGGGTTACATTATACAAAATCAAACTAGGGCTCGATAATCACATTTTGCAAATATGATTGCATATGTATCTTCTAAGGTTCATGACTGTATATTGCAAATATAGAACTGTTTAAACGTACAGAGAAATTGTGTTAGGAAAACTGCTATAATTTAACACGTTGACTACTAACTAAGAGTTATCTCGTCCTCTGTATGCTTGCCATTTTTGTGACGATTAAAATCTGAATATATCAGTGCTAATATCGATAAATGGCTTCTTGATAAAGAACAAAAAATCAATGCTAGCTTGCATCAACAGAGAATTTATTAAAAAACGAACAAAAAAATATAATTATAAAAATTCAAACCCAAGAAATCAAATAATATTTTGTTTGTGGAACTTCTTAAAATTTCCGTGGCAGTCAACGTGTTAACGTGTACAGATTTTGATGCATCTTTTGCTGACGATGGTATTATGAGCATTTCTATGGTCAAATTCTAGTACCCCGTAACTGTGTGGATCGGTGTTTTACAGGAGAGCCTTTTTTTAATTTGTAAGGTGCTTAATATGATTCAAAAGGTTAGAAAACTTTTTTTATATTACATTTTGACAATGAAATGATAAAATAAAAGTTTTTTTTCGAAATTTGTTTTTTATTGAATTAAGTATGGTACGGTTTATTAGGACAAAAATAATACAAAAATGTAATGATACGGGATATTATAATATAGTCAAAATCACGAAAGATGACTCTTACGTCATACCATAAATTGTACTGAAGTAATCAATGGACGTACGTCGATGATAAAATCACGACGTCAGGACATAATGACAACAAATTTATATTATGATTTTGCGAAGTTAGGTTATTTCACTGATTATTTTTATTCTCATTTCATTTCATGGTTTTGAGTGATACCTCAATAATAATTTTAGTGGGCAACTTTTGTTTTGAAAAAACATGAATAGAATACCTTAAAATAGGAACACCAAAGACCAAAGTATTATTCGAAAACAACCTAACCTGCTTTAACATAACCTAACTATTCATCTTCCAAATATGATTGATCATGCAACATAAAAACATCGTCTATGTCGGATACATGCAAATTATCAATACAGTTTGTTTAGACAATAAAATTCCGTGTGTCTCTGTCTAACATATCTGAAACTTCATTAAAAATATTCACAAATCGCTGTCGTTTGTCTTTACTACAGACTAAAATGATGACGTAATCGTCATCTTTCGTGGTTTCGACTTTAGGCAACATTTAACACTAAAGGAAAAAGTTTAAACAAAACTCTTATTAACTTGTAGAGTAAACGTACAACTGAATGGCGCGAAAAAGTAAAATTTGAATTTTTTGCAGATACGGTATTAGAATTGAATATGTATACATCAAAGTGAAAATAGTTCTACGAATGGTGTAATGTGGCATTTGAAAGTAAATCAATATCTGCTGATCTCATGATGAAACAATATGGCCGCGTTCATCAGAACATAGCATTTCGTGTTCAATCACTAATATTGATAACGTACATTTACAAATACCTGTACATGTGCAGTTTTCACTTTCAGACCAGGGAGTCTTAACTGAAATACTGGGATTTATCACCAAATATAAATTTTGTTACGATGAAATACATATAGTCAGAATCACGATAGATGACCTTTACGTCATACCATAAATTGTACTGAAGTAATCAATGGACGTACGTCGATGATAAAATCACGATGTCAGGAATGGTGACAACAAATTTTTATTATGATTTTGCAAAGTTAGGTTATTTCACTGATTATTTTTATTTTCATTTTATTTCATGGTTTTGAGTGATACCTCAATAATAATTTTAGTGGGCAACTTTTGTTTTGAAAAAACATGAATAGAATACCTTAAGATAGGAACACCAAAGACCAAAGTATTATTCGAAAACAACCTAACCTGCTTTAACATAACCTAACTATTCATCTTCCAAATATGATCGATCATGCAACATAAAAACATCGTCTACCTTTGTCGGATACATGCAAATTATCAATACAGTTTGTTTAGACAATAAAATTCTGTGTGTCTCTGTCTAACATATCTGAAACTTCATTAAAAATATTCACAAATCGCTGTCATTTGTCTTTACTACAGACTAAAATGATGACGTAATCGTCATCTTTCGTGATTTCGACTTTAGGCAACATTTAACACTAAAGGAAAAAGTTTAAACAAAATTCTTATTAACTTGTAGAGTAAACGTACAACTGAATGGCGCGAAAATTTGAATTTTTTTGCAGATACGGTGTTAGAATTCAATATGTGTACATCAAATTGAAAATAGTTCTACGAATGGTGTAATGTGGCATTTGGAAGTAAATCAATATCTGCTGATCTCATGATGAAACAATAAGGCCGCGTTCATCAGAACATAGCATTTCGTGGGCAATCACTAATATTGATAACGTACATTTACAAATACCTGTACATGTGCAGTTTTCACTTTCAGACCAGGGAGTCTTAACTAAAATACTGGGATTTATCACCAAATAGAAATTTTGTTACGATGAAATAAATATAGTCAGAATCACGATAGATGACCTTTACGTCATACCATAAATTGTACTGAAGTAATCAATGGATGTACGTCGATGATAAAATCACGATGTCATGAATTTATAAATTTTATGATTTTGCGAAGTTAGGTTATTGCACGGATTATTTTTATTTTATGGTTTCAAGTGAAAATACCTTAATAATAATTTTAATGGAGAGTTTTTGTTTTGAAAAAAAAAACAGTTATGAGTAGAATGCACCTTAAGACATTAACACCAAAGACCAAAGCATTATTCGAAAACAACCTAACCTGCTTTAACATAACCTAACTATTGATCTTTCAAATATGATCGATCATGCAACATAAAAACATCGTCTATCTTTGTCGGATACATGCAAATTAGCAATACAGTTTGTTTAGACAATAAAATTCTGTTTGTCTCTATCTAACATATCTGAAACTTCATTAAAAATATTCACAACTCGCTGTCGTTTGTCTTTACTACAGACTAAAATGATGACGTAATCGTCATCTTTCGTGGTTTCGACTTTAGGCAACATTTAACACTAAAGGAAAAAGTTTAAACAAAATTCTTATTAACTTGTAGAGTAAACGTACAACTGAATGGCGCGAAAATTTGAATTTTTTTGCAGATACGGTGTTAGAATTCAATATGTGTACATCAAATTGAAAATAGTTCTACGAATGGTGTAATGTGGCATTTGGAAGTAAATCAATATCTGCTGATCTCATGATGAAACAATATGGCCACGTTCATCAGAACATAGCATTTCGTGGGCAATCACTAATATTGATAACGTACATTTACAAATACCTGTACATGTGCAGTTTTCACTTTCAGACCAGGGAGTCTTAACTGAAATACTGGGATTTATCACCAAATATAAATTTTGTTACGATGAAATAAATATAGTCAGAATCACGAAAGATGACCTTTACGTCATACCATAAATTGTACTGAAGTAATCAATGGATGTACGTCGATGATAAAATCACGATGTCATGAATTTATAAATTTTATGATTTTGCGAAGTTAGGTTATTGCACGGATTATTTTTATTTTATGGTTTCAAGTGAAAATACCTTAATAATAATTTTAATGGAGAGTTTTTGTTTTGAAAAAAAAAACAGTTATGAGTAGAATGCACCTTAAGACAATAACACCAAAGACCAAAGCATTATTCGAAAACAACCTAACCTGCTTTAACATAACCTAATTATTCATCTTTCAAATATGATCGATCATGCAACATAAAAACATCGTCTATCTTTGTCGGATACATGCAAATTATCAATACAGTTTGTTTATACAATAAAATTCTGTGTTTCTCTGTCTAACATATCAGAAACTTCATTAAAAATATTCACAAATCGCTGTCGTTTGTCTTTACTACAGACTAAAATGATGACGTAATCGTTATCTTTCGTGGTTTCGACTTTAGGCAACATTTAACACTAAAGGAAAAAGTTTAAACAAAACTCTTATTAACTTGTAGAGTAAACGTACAACTGAATGGCGCGAAAAAGTAAAATTTGAATTTTTTGCAGATACGGTATTAGAATTCAATATGTATACATCAAAGTGAAAATAGTTCTACGAATGGTGTAATGTGGCATTTGGAAGTAAATCAATATCTGCTGATCTCATGATGAAACAATAAGGCCGCGTTCATCAGAACATAGCATTTCGTGGGCAATCACTAATATTGATAACGTACATTTACAAATACCTGTACATGTGCAGTTTTCACTTTCAGACCAGGGAGTCTTAACTAAAATACTGGGATTTATCACCAAATAGAAATTTTGTTACGATGAAATAAATATAGTCAGAATCACGATAGATGACCTTTACGTCATACCATAAATTGTACTGAAGTAATCAATGGATGTACGTCGATGATAAAATCACGATGTCATGAATTTATAAATTTTATGATTTTGCGAAGTTAGGTTATTGCACGGATTATTTTTATTTTATGGTTTCAAGTGAAAATACCTTAATAATAATTTTAATGGAGAGTTTTTGTTTTGAAAAAAAAACAGTTATGAGTAGAATGCACCTTAAGACATTAACACCAAAGACCAAAGCATTATTCGAAAACAACCTAACCTGCTTTAACATAACCTAACTATTCATCTTTCAAATATGATCGATCATGCAACATAAAAACATCGTCTATCTTTGTCGGATACATGCAAATTAGCAATACAGTTTGTTTAGACAATAAAATTCTGTTTGTCTCTATCTAACATATCTGAAACTTCATTAAAAATATTCACAACTCGCTGTCGTTTGTCTTTACTACAGACTAAAATGATGACGTAATCGTCATCTTTCGTGGTTTCGACTTTAGGCAACATTTAACACTAAAGGAAAAAGTTTAAACAAAATTCTTATTAACTTGTAGAGTAAAAGTACAACTGAATGGCGCGAAAAAGTAAAATTTGAATTTTTTGCAGATACGGTGTTAGAATTCAATATGTATACATCAAATTGAAAATAGTTCTACGAATGGTGTAATGTGGCATTTGAAAGTAAATCAATATCTGCTGATCTCATGATGAAACAATATGGCCGCGTTCATCAGAACATAGCATATCGTGGGCAATCACTAATATTGATAACGTACATTTACAAATACCTGTACATGTGTAGTTTTCACTTTCAGACCAGGGAGTCTTAACTGAAATACTGGGATTTATCACCAAATATAAATTTTTTACGATGAAATAAATATAGTCAGAATCACGAAAGATGACCTTTACGTCATACCATAAATTGTAATGAAGTAATCAATGGACGTACGTCGATGATAAAATCACGATGTCAGGAATGGTGACAACAAATTTTTATTATGATTTTGCAAAGTTAGGTTATTTCACTGATTATTTTTATTTTCATTTTATTTCATGGTTTTGAGTGATACCTCAATAATAATTTTAGTAATAGTAATCTTAGTGCAGAGTTTTGAAAAAACAGTTTTGATTAGAATACCTTAAGACAGAAACACCAAAGACCAAAGTATTATTCGAAAACAACCTAACCTGCTTTAACATAACCTAACTACTCTTCTTTCAAATATGATCGATCATGCAACATGAAAACATCGTCTATCTTTGTCGGATATATGCATATTAGCAATACAGTTTGTTTAGACAATAACATTCTGTTTATCTCTGTCTAACATATCTGAAACTTCATTAAAAATATCCACAAATCGCTGTCGTTTGTCTTTAATACAGTCTAAAGTGATGAAGTAATCGTCATCTTTCGTGATTTCCGCGATAGCAAAATATTATATAATTGATTTGTCACGATATGTGCCACATTTTTATACTATATTAAATGAACAAATTTGTAGGTCAAAACGTCGTCAAACATCGCGTTTTTTGAATATAAAATAGAAATCGAACCTCTCTGATTTTAAAGCTACTGAAGCGCTGCAGTAAATTGTTAATATGCACTATTGGTATAAGTTTAAATAGAATAAATCAAATTTAATTTCTTTTTTCAGTACACGCATAGAGAAAACGCGGGGAAACGGACAAGAAAATCCACCGATTGAAGAAGGAAAACAGTACCGATTAAATAAATATTGTATCAAATGTAATGAGGTGTTCACAAGCAAAATCTTACTAGATAATCATGTGATTAGAAAGCATGCCGACTTGATTGCGTCAGTTACGTCTAAAATACATGAATGTAAATTCTGTGGTTTCAAAACCGTATTTAAAAAATGTTTGACCAGTCATGTGTCGAAGCACACTAATACTAAAGTACGTATATTTGCCCTTCACATATGCAAACATTGCAGTACGTCATTTAAAAAAACTACAACTCTCTTTGACCATATTCTTCAGAAACATCCAAAATTTAGCGAGACAGTTTCTAGTAAGATATACGAATGTATACATTGCGCAGTCAAAAAAACCAATAGGGCTACCTTCATCAGGCACATGAGACAACATGATACTCAAAAGCTTTTAGAGTGCATCAACTGTGACTTATCATTTAAAACTAAACTACGTTTAGATCACCACATTTTACAGAAGCATCCTGAGCTCACTGCTTCTATGTCTTATAAGACATTGACAAAACGTATAATAAAATCTGCCATGCACATGTGCACAAAGTGTGATTCGTCATTTATTAAGAAAACCTCATTACACAATCACATTTTACAGAAGCATCCTGAGCTTACTACGACTGTGTCTAGCAAGATTCATGAATGTACACGTTGTCAATATAAAACTACACACACGCATTGTTTAGTTAGGCATATCGTGAAACATAATAGAACTACCTTCACGGATACGAAGTGTGATACGTCATCTACGTCATTAGACAACCACATTTTACAGAAATGTCCTTTATCTGCCCCACTTTCACATGAGCATCAGTTAGCTGATCATATAATAAAAGAAAAACGTATTGAACTTACGTGTACAAAGTGTGACGTGTCATTTGCAAGTAAACAATCTTTAGACAACCACATTTTACAGAAGCATCCCGATCTTACCGCGTCTGTGACTAGTAAGATACATGAATGTACACATTGCGAATATAAAACTTCACACAAATGGGGTTTAGCTAAACATATGTTAAAACATACTGTGCGAACGTAACATCTCAAAATTATCATGTGGTTGCCTCGTAGACACAATAATGAAAGTTTACCAACATTTCGGCCACCTCGGTGGCTTTATCCGACTGTCTCAGAATGTCACATGTATGTAGATTAAAAAATAATTTCCCAGTCTCTAGATTTCTCTTGGGTACGAGTGACGCTGAGTGTGTTAAAATTTTATAAAATCAAAATGAGAAATTTTTAAACGCAAGCTTAACTTTGAAATTTATATTTCACGGGCTACACCCCAAATGGCATGATGGATTTTGACATATTTGAGGTGTCCATAGATTCCCTATGATGACACAAATCTTTGTTCTTTCAGTTACTGCTGTGATTTAATTCAGCCAACAATACTGTACAAAGCCTAGTGCCTTTATACCAAATCAAACTCGGACTCGATAGTCGTATTCTGCAAATATGCTCTAGGTCTTCTAAGATTCATGACTGTTTACCTGTATACAGGGTGACTTTGAAGTTGAGTCATTAATTAATATGCAACTGAATAAAATTGTAGTAAAAACATCGTGATAAACGTTTCAAATTCTTTCGCTTTTTTGTTTCCGATGCGATGAACCGATAAGGCGGATTATATCCGTTGTTGCCAAACACGAGCACATAATATTATTATTGAGACAGGGCGGTACTCAAACTTCTAAAGGGCTATAACTTTGTTACTTTAATTTTACCAGAAAAATGTTAAAGGAAAAAAAAATTTCTTTTGATCAGATCTACTCACTGTTAAAATAAATGACTCAACTTCGGAGTCACCCTGTGTTGCAAATATAAAACTGTATAAACGTACAGATAAATATACTAGGAAAATTGTAAATTTTACGTGTGCAGAATTTGATGTATGATTCTACAGTTTTTTCAGAAACTGGTAGCAACTTTTGGTTATCTTATGGAATGCTGTACGTATTTGTATTCTGGGAGACATTCTGAATACTTTTCATTAAACATACTTTAACGTAGACCTCATAGCTTTAGAAATAACAAAAGGTATTTTTTCACCTAAGCAATGATCGATATGGAAAACAATTTCCTATCATTACTGACATTGTAAAGTCCATCGAGTTTTGTCAGTAGAGTTAATAAAAATATGGTTTATTTAACTAAAACCATGAGGATAGGAATTCTAACATTGATTCTAATATAGTCGAAATCACGAAAGATGACGATTACGTCATCATTTTAGTCTGTAGTAAAGACTAACGACAACGATTTGTGAATATGTTTAATGAAGTTTCAGATATGTTAGACAGAGACAAACAGAATGTTATTGTCTAAGGAAACTGTATTCCTAAGTTGCATGTATCCGACAACGATAGACGATGTTTTCATGTTGCATGATCGATCATATTTGAAAGATGAATAGTTAGGTTATGTTTAAGCAGGTTAGGTTGTTTTCGAATAATACTTTGGTCTTTGGTGTTCCTGTCTTAAGGTAATCTATACATAACAGTTTTTTTCAAAACAAAAACTCCCCCCACTAAAATTATTAAGGTATGATTCAAAACCATGAAATAAAATGAAAATAAAAATAATCAGTTAAATAACCTAACTTCGCAAAATCATAATATAAATTTGTTGTCATTATGTTCCTTACATCGTGATTTTATCATCGACGTACGTCCATTGATTACTTCAGTACAATTTATGGTATGACGTAATAGTCATCTTTCATGATTTTGATTATAGTGTATTTCATATTCCAAGGAAACAAGATAAAAATTAAAAACAAAGAAAACGATAAAACCTAGTTGTTAATTTAAACTTCAAAACAAAATAAAAATCATATTAAATGTTCAAATTCCCGGCCATATACTTCTTGACAAAAAGCTAGATATTGCATTTAGAACATTTTGAATACATCCGCCTTCCTCGATGTTTCTGCATTTATTTTCTATTCGTCTTTTAGTTCCTCCAAATCAAATGGTTTGGTTGTGTACACTACATTTTTTAAGTGCCCCCACAAAAAATAATCGAGGGGTCTGAGGTCAGGAGACCGAGGTGGCTATTCAATCGTACATCTTCCAAAAAATGTTTGATCAAAAAATTCGCGAACATTTCGCGCGTTATGCGGCGGTTCACCAAAGCCATAATTGTATCATTGGGCACTCTATTATTTACTAAAAGAAAACAATATTCATATATTTCATTGTTTGCGGTAATAAAAGTTACTTATAAGGATTGGGAAAACTATGAGGTAAATAAAATATATAGCATTCCATAAGCAGAATAAAAGTTGCTATCAGTTTCTGAAAAACTGTAGATTTGGCAACATCGCGGATATCATCAACGGATCTGTCGTATAACTAAATATTATGCAATTGGTTTGTCAAGATATTTGTCAACTTTTTATACCATATTAAAAGACAATATCTAGGTCAAGATTGCGTTCCTTTGATCTAAAATAGAAATTGAAGATCTGATTACAAAGCTATCATAAGTAATTGTTGATAAATTTGCACTATCGGTCAGAGAAGTTTAAGAATAAATCAAATGTAATTTCTTTTTTCAGTACACGCATAAAGAAAAAGCGGGGAAGGGAACAAGAAAATCCACCGATTGAAGAAGGAAAACGGTACCGATTAAATAAATATTGTTGTGACAAATGTAATGAGGTGTTTGAAAACAAAATGTTACTAGATAATCATGTGGTTAGAAAGCATGCTGCATCAGTTACATCTAAAATAAGAGAATGTAAATTATGTGGTTTCAAAACCGTTTTTAAAAACTCTTTAACCAGACACATAGCGAGGCACACAAATAAAAAAATATCTGCCCTTCACATGTGCACTCAGTGCAATGCGTCATTTAAAAAAGTGAAATCTCTCTTTGACCATATTCTGCAGAAACATCCAAACTTTAGCGGGACAGTTTCTGATAAGATTTATGAATGTATACATTGCGCAGTCAAAAAAACGAACAAGGCGAACTTTATTAGGCACATGATGAAACACACCAATCAAAAGCCCGTTGAATGTATATACTGTGACGCATCATTTAAAACCAGACTACGTTTAGATCACCACATTTTACAGAAGCATCCCGAGTTCACGACTTCGATATCTCGTAAAATACGCGCATGCCCACATTGCGAATACAAAACTACAGTCATGCGAAGTTTTGCTAGTCATATGACAAAACATACAGGAGTTAAGCTCGCGTGTACAAAGTGTGATGCATCATTTACCTTTAAAGCCTCATTAGACGACCACACTTTACACAAGCATCCTGAATTTATTGCGTCTGTGTCCAGTAAAATACATGAATGTACACATTGCGAATACAAAACGACGTTCTCGCAACAGCTAGCTAATCATATGACGAAACATATTGTGACTGCCAAGATTATCTGCACAAGCTGCGACGCGTCATTTAGAAGCAAGCAATCGTTAGACAATCACATTTTGCTCAAGCATCCTGAGATTACCGCCTCTGTGGCTCGCAAGGTACACGAATGTACGTACTGTGAATATAAAACTACATACGTGCATTGTTTAGCTAGGCATACAATAAAACACACTGGGCCTAAGATCATGTGTACAGAGTGTGATGCGGCATTTAAAAGTAAACAATCTTTAGAAAACCACATTTTGCTGAAGCATCCTGAGTTCATTGCGTCTGTGTCTCGTAAGATATATGAATGTAGGCTCTGCGATTTTAAAACTACAGAAGCACGGTATTTAGCTAGACATATGACGAAACATGCTGAAGCTAAACCGACGCGCACAAAGTGACTTGCGTCAGTCATTAACAAAACGTTATTAGACAACCACATTTTACAGAAGCATCATGTCTATACTACAACTATTTAAAACTGTAATGACTCATACGCGTGATCAACACGTGATCAGAGCTCGATCCCGGCTTCCTTCTAGTACAGCCGTATAGCGTACGACATATGTCGTTTCTGTGGCTTTGCGGTGGTCAACAGCACAGACAGAGATGGAAATAATGGCTGATTGTTCTCCGCCGGTAGAACCAATGAAATCAAAGACGCGCCTCGACCGGCAGACTCATAGGCGTCGGCAACGCATTGGAACGTGTTTCGTTGAGCGATCGCGCATTGTGTGTTTTTATAAGAATTGTTGTGTGATTGTTATTGTTGTGGTTTCTGTGGTTACTGTTTTGGTTATACTTAACCATGGAGAGTACAAATGGCACGAGTGGAAGTACTGAAAGCCAGGGAACAAGTAGACGGCTTCGTAAAGCACTGAAGAGGGACGCGAGCCCAACTCTGTGATCGTCATGGATAATGCTTCCTACCATAGTCGTCGAGCCGAACGTGTACCGACTATGGGATCTCGAAAAAGTGACATGCAGCAATGGTTGCGCGAAAAAGGAATCCCGTTTGACGATTCATGTGTGAAAGCGGAATTGTATGAAAAAATTAAACAGCACAAACCTGCGAACATTAGTTACGTGACTGATGAGATGGCCCGTCAATGTGGTGTCACTGTGCTGCGGTTACCGCCCTACCACTGTGAACTGAACCCAATAGAACTCATCTGGGCTCAAGTGAAGGGTTATATTGCGCGCCATAACACAACCTTCAAATTACCAGACGTTAGGGTTTTACTTGAGACTTCCATACAGCTAGTAACGCCCGAAGCTTGGCAGAATGCTATCCGTCATGTTGTGAAGGAAGAAACAAAAATGTGGCAGCTTGACCACCACATCGACACCATCATAGAGCCAGTTATAGTCAATTTCAACGAGGAAAGCGATAGCGACAGTTTATTACTGTCAGATGTAAGTGGAAGCGACGATGAATAAAGGTAATTCCCAAATTTTTCACTTACAATATATTTCAAACCACTCTTTATTAAGCATGTGACAAACCTAGTTCACCCATGTTAAACATTCATACCCCGCCTATGAACAGCCGACTACTGGTAGTTAAGTGATGTTCACGTGAACATCGATGAGTCATTACAGTTTTAGATAGTTATAGTATAGTACAGAAATGTACATACATATTTTGAATATATATGTAGATGCTACACGAATTTTACTAAGCATACGATATGACATACTGTATCAATCTGAAACTCATCATGCGCTTATTCTCGCTGTTCAGTCGCAATGTTCTGCTGCCAAAATGAAACCACAGACGAATAAAAGAAGGTTTATTTACGGTTTGGCCACCCCGGTGGCTTTTTCAAAGTAAAATTGTATGAGTGTGGTCAAACCGTTGGTAAATTTTTATATGTTTACATATACACCTTAGGAAAAACCATTATTATACATTATGATGAGGAAGAGAGATGGAAATATACAAAAGTATGTAGGTGCGTGAAAGACACTCGATTGTAGCATCCTATCTGGCAGCGTCGGAGTGTGACGGAAAACGGGGTAAAGTAGAAGAGTGATAAAAGAGAGATGGCAGAACGGGCGCTGGCGCCTGCCGCTTAGACGGATGCGCTCAACAAATGCGATTTGTTTCTCCCATTCGCAGAGTTGCCGATACCAATATGTCATAGGCGTAATATTCATCATAGACTTATTAGATTTCCAGATTTGATAACTACACCTATTCACTCCACTACTTTATTCCAGCGTTCTTTCACGTACAGGGCTTCAGTGTTATACAATTCCTTGAGTCCTGAATTCAAAACCATGTCCTTAAATTGCTTCAAGAAAGCTGTCAAATCTCATATTTACTTGGATCCATAGTCTTAGATTGCTATAGATATATTGTTAAATGATTCATTTCCCTTGTGTACATGTAGCAAACCTTGGTGCAACATGTACGTATGTAATGTGTGTATATGTATGTATATATGTACATGTGTATGTATATATGTATATTTTGTTTGATATCTGCTACTTAACAACTTGTTTTTTTTGCATGGGTGGTTAAGTGTAAGAGTAGCATGTTGCTAAACTTCGCCACCATATGCAACTCTTGTTTTTCTGTATGAAGTACAGTTTAAATAAAGACGATTATTATTATTATTATTATTATTATATTTCTAAGAAATCTAAGTCTACCCAAATTTCGGGAAAAATAGCTGCGGATTCCACATAAGAGTATTCCAAAAATGAAAAAGTTCAAACTATTAAAATTGTATTAATGTTTCATGGTTCAAATCATATTTTTCATGTTTGTATATTGTTGTATAAATGATTTTGTAATCCCGATTCTTGTTGCCAGTAGAGATACAACAGTATTGAGAGAAATCATGGACCGCTAGATAGGGCTACAACTACCATATGACTATCAAATAGTAGTGATAAACAGGGTTTGTTTATAGCACAGTTGCCTGGTGTGGCGAATTTGCGCCATAGGGGCGATTTGACAACTTTGAAGGACAACTATAACGGGTACTATGGTGCCCGGTATTCGGGAATCTGGCAATACCTGATGATTCCTAACGTTTATTACGCCAGATTGTTTGCTGACTTGCGCAGTACAACTTGACAATCAACGTGACTGAGCACCTGGTAACCCTGGTTTAAGGTGTTATATTTAAAGAGCTTGGGGCAGTTAGGTATCTAGGTCACATTTTTTAATGTATTTCGAGAAATCCGTAATGTTGAGTAAATACTAGATCACGTTTCTTGCTTAGTTTGCTGAAAATTCTACAATAGACGTACATTTTGAGAAACAGAGATTTGGTGACGACAAAATCGTAAAAATATAACGCATAATTTCTTTGTTGAAAAGACTGTGGCTTGATGACCCATTGAACGAGTATAGTGTCCCGCTCCGCTTTGAACATTCGAAACATTATACTCCAGCAGCATTCAGCTTCAATGTTATCTTTATGAAGTTCTAACGTCTAGGCCATGCTGATTAAAAGCTTGAATGAATCAACACTTAACTCCCCACAATTCGGGAAGCTCTACTCAAATTGGCAACACAGCGTATCAGCCTATTATTCTCATTCGTGATACAGGTCTGCGGTCTGCGCGTTAACGGTAGGAAATATGTACGAATAGCGATGAAAGTAGACGAGCCGATGCGCTGTTGCCAAGAAATGATTTCCCATGTATAACAATGGTTTTTCCTAAGGTGGTTTTATTTAGACAACAAAACATAGATATTGAAATGCGTGGTGCATCAGCCAAAAGAAAACTAGGATCCGATAATTACATGCAAAAATGCAAATATGATTAACCGCATATGTATCTTCTAAAATTCATTACTGTTATATTGCAAAACTACGTAAACGTACAGAGAAACATCGCTCAGTATTCACCAAATCGTGTAAGTGTACAGGGTGGCCAACTAAGAATGTGAACTGAAAATCATGTGGTGGATGTATTCAAAGGTTTCCGTAAAAAACACCCTGTATCTTCGAAATGGCTGAGCCGATTTTAACAGACTTGGGCTAGTTGAAAAGAGCTGCTATTGGGCTACAAATGTTATAATATATAGTAGAAATCACATATCTTTTTATTCACGTCACCAAAAGCCACGATTGGTGGTCGACTTACGTAAAATGGCAAGTCATATAAATTTAATGTGCTAGAAAATGAAGAAGATATATTATCATGTCTCACCGACTACAAATATGTCTACATGGTTGCCGCTTATGCACAGGCTTATTTTGTCGAATTCGCAAGTTTACGGCATGTCGTAAATAATATCATATCGTCATTTTGACGTTCAACTATGAGGTTAAAAATACCACAATACAGGAAACATGATATTATAATCAAATCCAAGCGAATAACCAAAATTTCTGTGTTATGTGCCGCGGTTATAATATGGTTCAAGATGACACACGGGTTGATGACGTCAGTTACACGAATCGCTTGAACGCGTTGGTTTTAACCGCGGTTTTGTTGCAAGTTGTTTATTTTAGAAAAGCGCGTATATAATCTCTGATTATTTTTATTATCACTTAATAATCGGTGCTTTTTCGTCTACAACTGTATATGGAAAGTTTAAATAAGAAACCTTTCATAATATTGATGGGAGAAATGTTTTTTTCAGATTTCTTTTTTAATGATGGAACCATGGCTTTGTAGCTATGATAACTTACAATTCTCTAAATTTTTCCGCATGTCAAATAAAACATTTATTGATTCAGCAGAAATGATGAAAAAAGAAATTAGCAAAACCGTATACAGGTGGATATCATCTAGTGAGTTTATATGGCCATATTTTAATATTCTTGTGGTATATGGCTACACAGGATACTTTGTTAAGCATAGGAACTACATTTAAAGTGTCCCCAACAACCGTAATGAGTATAACTAATAAGGTGCTCCACTTTATGGTAAAACTGAAGTCAGCCTGTATCAATTTTCTCAAAAATGAAGCTGAAGTACAAAAAACAATAACCAATACCTGGCAAAGTTCTAACTTGTCACATTTCAAATAATAACCAGAAATATAAAACTACTCTGGAGTACGGTAAATACAATTTTGCGGTGATAACTATGACATATAACAGCTGATTCGTGACGTCACGGATCTTATAACCAAACTGATAACTACACTCGCTTGAACGGATTGGTAAATACCAAGCCAAAATGGTAAATACCATTTCCATTTGGTTATCCGCTTGAATTTGATTTAGGATACCACAGGATGTTTCCCATTTGACAGGACAGTTCATATTGTCAAAGCCTGTCTTCTGTAATGTGTTCGGCAGTATTTCAATATCGACTTATCTGATCTCCGACTTACCTCAATACGTAATTTTTTCGTCACTCTCAACTTATATGCTATGCAGAGAGAATGAGAAAGATGACGAATGCTGAGAATTCCTACAACATACCAATTTTGAAGATGTATGGCATCACTGGTGATTTGAAGCCTATGACGTGCATTAAAAGTTATGTGACTCGAACTGTATGAAGTTTTGTTAGTTTCACATGTGGCTTTCTTCGACAACATTGTAACTGGTGTAAATATCACAGAAACTTTGGTTATTCGCTTGGATTTGAAGTGAGACAGTCAAAGGTTACCTGAAGGGATCATTCAAAATAATAGTATTTGCAGGAATAACGTTTACAACAGTTAAATGAGACGGTCCTAAACTATAGATCTGCAACTTAAATTATAATGAAACATTCTTTTTTCAGTGTACAAATAAAGAAAATGCGGGAAAAAGAACAGGAAAGTCAACGGTTCGAAGAAGGAAAACAGTCGTGTGTCAAAAGGAACAATTGCCATTTAGGATCTAATATGGAAAGATCGCGATCTGTTTCCAAGAAACAGTCCCAACTAAATAAACATGTTTGTATCAAATATAAGTTGTTCAAAAACAAAATGTCTCTAGAAGATCATGTGGTGGAAAAGGATGTCGGATCTACTGCATCAGACTCATATAAAATACATGAATGTAAATTCTGTGATTTCGAAAGTGTTCGTAAAAATATTTTAACGAAGCACATTTTGCTAAGACACACTAATGACAATGTTTCCGAACTGCGCATATGCGGACATTGTAAAACGCCATTTAAAAGAAAGCAAGCGCTTTTCGACCATATTCTAAGAAAACATCCCAACCTAAGCGGAACAATTTCTTGTAAGATATATGAATGTATGCATTGTGGGCTGAAAAAAACCACTAGGGCTAACTTTATAAGGCACATGACAAAACATGATACCCAAATGCCGTTTGAATGTCAAATCTGTGATGCCTCGTTTAAAACGAAACTACGTTTAGATCACCACACTTTACAGACACATCCTGCCTTTACGGATTCTGTGTCTCATAAGATACACGAATGTACACACTGTGAATACAAAACTACACACACGGAGTTTTTAGGTAAACATATGAAAAAACATACCGGAGCTAAGTTCACGTGTACAATGTGTGATGCCTTTTTCGCGAGAAAACAAACGTTGGATCACCACATTTTGCGGAAACATCCCGGATCTACCGCATCCGTGTCCAATAAGATTCACGAATGTACATATTGTGAATATAAAACTACACTCGGGAGCACGTTGGCTATCCATATGGTGAAGCATACCGGAGTTAAAGTGAAACATACTTGCACAAAATGTGGTGCGTCGTTCACGTTGCAATATTCGTTAGACAACCACATTTTGCATAAACATCCCGAGACCACCGCTTCTGTGTCTAGTAAGATACATAAATGTACACATTGTGAATATAAAACTACATACGCGAGGGATTTAGTTGGGCATATCATGAAACATACCAAAGGTAGGATCATGTGTAAGAAATGTGGTGCGTCATTTGCGTTTAAACAGTCATTAGACAAGCACATCATACAAAAACATCCTGAGCTTGCTGCTTCTGCGTCTCGTGAGCTATACTCTAGGCGCTGAAGAAAGAAACTAAACCCAAACAAATACACGCATATTGCTCGTGAGTGAGTGTTTAGGCGCAGGAGACATTACAGGACCGCATCAAGATATTATGGGTAGTCATAAAAATTTCATACAAGATAATTATTATCTTTTACAGTAAATTTCAGTTAGAGATTCACAAATGAGTTAACTACACTTTTTAGTTATTAGTAAGTAAGCTGCGCGCACTCATTCAGAAGAGGAACTTGAATCTTCTGAATCGTTTAAATGAATTATTAGAGGTTCAATTTGGGTATCGATGACATTGTCTATATCCCACATTTTGACCTCAACCTTCTCCCGAACGTGGCGGATACAGTTTTTCCATTCCTCTGCCGTAACTCTATTGACTGCGATGTGAAAGAGATTTTTAACATCAGAAAATTTATAAGTATTATTATTCGACGCCACGTATTGCTTTATGTTGGCCCAAATCAGCTCAATAGGGTTCAGCTCACAATGGTAGGGTGGCAGTCTCAAGACAGTTTTATTTTGTTTTTTGGCCATTTCGTCGATCATTTTAAAATCGTATTTGTATTTATGTCTATTGACTATACTTATCAATTCACCCTTGACCATTGTTTCATCAAAATCGATCTGTTTTGAGGCCAGCCATTGTTGTATGTTTGCTTTTTTAGTTGCCATTGTGGGAATTTTTTCTATTTTTCTAGAATGGTACGGGGCATTATCCAGTACAATAACAGCGTTATTCTCCAGCTTTAGTAACATTTTGAAGAACCAATTTTCAAAGGAATTGCCGTCTCCTCATGATAGCCCCCTGTCTTTTTTGATTCAAAGGCCCACAGTGCTTCGGGAACAAAGCCGTCTTCACTACCTACGTGATAAATGAACAGCCGTTTGCCTTTTCCTGGAAATAAATTATTCCTTACACTATGGATTGATTAAATTTGAAGGAATGAGGCAATTGAGTTCATTTAGCTGAATTTAAGAGTCACGGAATGCTGATCAAAAACTGAAAAACGTAGAAAATTGAAGTTTGCAACTTCTCAAAACCCATTCAAAGCAAATTGACTGCACCCAAAAATGATAATAAATTTCAAAATAACGCTTAAAAGAGGGTCGAAGTTTTTTTCCTAATGACTACACTGCGAATGCACCATTTTTGGAGAATATCACACATTATCTGCTATCACAGCATATTATTTGCCCGAATTTATCAAAATTAAATTGCCGGATAGATGAAGGAGCTTACCTGCAGGATTTTTCAATCCAGCCGAAAGACCGTCTAGAAAAGCCTGCCTTGATGATGTTACTGATTTGTCGACCCAAACTTTCGCTTGAGTATGTCCAGCATTCACCCACGTTTCGTCCAAATAGTAAATTTTTCTTTTTTCATCGCGAAACTTCCGAATCTTCCTAAGGTATTCCTTTCTCCACACAACAATTTCTTCTTTCTCTATTAACATACTGTTTCTTCCCCGTTTCAAGAATCGAAAATTAAGTTCCTTCAAAAGTTTTCGGAATGTGGTTCTTTTAAATGATGGAAAATCCTCATCAGCATTAACTAATCTTAATATCCTATCTACTGTAGGTATCTCATTTCGGAAGAAAAAATTATGCACTTTCCTCCTGATGGCAGTTCTGTCAAAGTCATCTACTCCGTCCGTTATCCTTTTTCTTGCAGGATACGGTTTTGGCTCAGAAAGTGAGTGAGTACTCCTATATTCCTTAATGATCCTATAAACATTGGACCGACTTACTCCAGAAATATGTGCTACCTTACATATAACTTCGTCCACGACCAAATGGGTTTTTTCTTGAATTTGGTTTTTGTATATATTTAATATTATTTGTTTTTCATTTGCACTTAAATGTAGCTTCTTAGTCCTTTTTTTGGGTGGGGTTGCGCTGATGTCAACCACTTCGTCGGCTGTATCTGTGTCAGACATCGTATCTTAGGCAATATATAAACAAAACGTTCCACTCGCGAAAAACGAGTATACGCTACTAAATGCGTAATGCGTATGCAATGCAATCCTGTGCGTGAATTAACTGTTAGATGCCTGTCGTGTCATCTACAATCACGTTTACAAGTCCAAACCTGTGCAGATTCGTAGAGCGCCGACGACTGCTAGTGACCTTGAATTTGTCTGTAGATCGATGTTACTCCAGTCAATTTAGGTTCAAAGTGGATATTTTCTAAACCAATTTGTTGTTCCTACATCAAAAATATATCGATGATGTTTTGTACTGGGAGCTCATGAAAGATCAAGGTAACTTATTTTAACAGTCATCCTTTTTCTAGTCTCAAGATGACACGAAAAAGGGTCTGTGGATTCACTAGAAATACACTGCCGAGGATGTTTAGACCTAAAGTGACTGGAGTATATCCGTGGATGCTTTCGAGGGATCTGTTCACGTGCTGATCACTGTTTACGTTTAATGTCTTTCTTCAGCGCCCAGAGTTTACATGAATGTACGCATTGTGAATATAGAACAATTAGGAAAAATGAATTTACTGATCATATGAGGCAACATTTTCAGTCATAGTCATAGATGTACAGCATGTAACTGAATCTCAATATTTAAGCGCGTGCTTTTTTTGGGCCCTTTCTCCAAACTTCATATACGTCTTAACTTTTGTAGAAAGGCAGTGTCATATGTTACCGACTTTTCTTAAAATATTTGTATATACAATTCGTGACCAAAATGGAACATTTTACACAGGACCCCATTTTAAGGGGGGTCTTCGATGTAACAATTTTTTCATTGAAAAGATATTGCCGAAGTCTTAGAAATGAACGCGTAAAGCTTTTGGGGTAGGTTGACGACTGTTAGGAAATCCACGTTGATACTCCCGAGAAACCGCTAAAGCATTACAGAACCCGTACACAAAAATAATATCGGCGTACTTATCATTGCTAAATTCTATTTCACAACACTCAAAAAGGGAAAAAGAAAGTACAAAAAAAATTATACTAGTAACGATAATAACCGTATAGCACATAACTTTGACAAACCATCTCCCAACAAACGTCAAGTTGGTATCAAGGCCTCCTATTTTATTTCGAAACTAATTATATTTCGGTTCATCATGAAAGATGTTTTTTTTTTATTTTTACGAAACGATGCACTCTAGGAAAAAACAAGAATGATTATTTTATTTATTGCGCGTTTCGAAAAAAAAAACTGGCGTACTATTTTTATTTGGAAAGATAATGCCACTAATAAAAAAATTGTTTTTTATTTTGAAACTTCAATACCCCGTATCTTTTTACGGCGATATTGTTATGATCATGCAGAGGAACTGTTTTAATTTTTTAAGCGAAAACCGTGCATCGGATTGAAAAATCGAGGGATCAAATTTGCTTAGGATTTCAAGAATAAATTTTATTTTAAGAAAAATCGGTGTCGTACGATCAGTGCTTGCCACAATAGGCAGGTGAAATGCTGTAAGAACGCCACTGGTGGAAATGTAGCACATTAAAAAATGCCAAATTTCATTAAAATACTTAAAGAGTGACTTACAGATATTTATGAGACATCCAATTTAAGAAACAGTCTGGGTATAACCCTTGCCGAATCCTAATACTACGGTTTGATTTGTACAGTATTAGAAAAAACACAGTTGAAACACTTGGTGATCATATATTTCATTAGAATTACAACATTTGGATGTGTAAATTTCCTCTAAGTTGTAGTGTCAAATAAGGTTACTTCTTAATGATTTGAGATATTTTCCCGCTAAAGTCAAAATCACGAAAATGACTGTTACGTCACACCATAAATTGTACTGAAGTAATCAATGGACGTACGTCGATGATAAAATCACGATGTCATGAATTTATAAATATTATGATTTTGCGAAGTTAGGTTATTGCACTGATTATTTTTATTTTATGGTTTCAAGTGAAAATACCTTAATAATAATTTTAATGGGGAGTTTTTGTCTTGAAAAAAAAAAACAGTTATGAGTAGAATGCACCTTAAGACATTAGCACCAAAGACCAAAGTATTATTCGAAAACAACCTAACCTGCTTTAACATAACCTAACTATTGATCTTTCAAATATGATCGATCGTGCATCATGAAAACATCGTTTATCTCTGTCGGATACATGAAAATTAGTAATACAAATTGTTTAGACAATAAACATTCTGTTTATCTCTGTCTAACATGTTCGAAACTCTATTAAAAATATTCACAAATCGCTGTCGTTTGTTTTTACTACAGACTAAAATGATGACGTAATCGTTATAGAGCCTTGTTCAGATTCTACAAAGAATGAACTCCCAAAGACAAATGTACATATATTAAAAAAAATGTTTTTTATTTTGAAACTTCAATACCCCGTATCTTTTTACGACGATATTGTTATGATCATGCAGAGGAACTGTTTTAATTTTTTAAGCGAAAACCGTGCATCGGATTGGAAAAATCGAGAAATCAAATTTGCTTAGGATTTCAAGAATAAATTTTATTTTAAGAAAAATCAGCGTCGTACGATCAGTGCTTGCCAAAATAGGCAGGTGAAATGCTGTAAGAACGCCGCTGGTGGAAATGTAGCACCTTAAAAAATGCCAAATTTCATTAAAATACATAAAAGAGTTATTTACAGATATTTATGAGACATCTAATTCTGTATATAACTCTTGCCGAATCCTAATACTGCGGATGATTTGTACAGTGATAGAAAAAACAAAGTTGAAACACTTGGTGATCATATTTCATTAGAATTACAACATTTGGATGTGTGAATTTCCTCTAAGTTGTAGTGTTAAATAAGGTTACTTCTTAATGATTTAAGATCTTTTCCCGCTAAAGTCAAAATCACGAAAGATGACTATTACGTCACACCATAAATTGTACTGAAGTAATCAATGGACGTACGTCGATGAGAAAATCACGATGTCATGAATTTATAAATATTATGATTTTGCGAAGTTAGGTTATTGCACTGATTATTTTTATTTTATGGTTTCAAGTGAAAATACCTTAATAATAATTTTAATGGGGAGTTTTTAATTGAAAAAAAAACAGTTATGAGTAGAATGCACCTTAAGACATTAGTACCAAAGACCAAAGTATTATTCGAAAACAACCTTACCTGCTTTAACATAACCTAACTATTCTTCTTTCAAATATGATCGATCATGCAACATGAAAACATCGTTTATCTTTGTCAGATACTTGAAAATTAGTAATACAGTTTGTTTAGACAATAACATTCTGTTTATCTCTGTCTAACATGTTTGAAACTTTATTAAAAATATTCACAAATCGCTGTCATTTGTCTTTACTACAGACTAAAATGATGACGTAATCGTCATCTTTCGTGATTTCGACAGTTATAGAGCCTTGTTCAGATTCTACAAAGAATGGAGTCCCAAAGACAAATGTTAAGTTAGGATTGTGGAGGTAGCTCACAATTTGAAGTTTATGATAACAATTGTTTTGTTTTTATAGTTTTATTTTCGATTTGATATTAATTTAGCTGTCGTTATTCATTAATAACTACATAGACAAACCAGGATGTACTCGTATTAACGTCAACTGTTTTTTATGCACCTGGTATATTAGTAAAGGTATGGATATGATTTAGTGGGTAAAGACCTTTATTCCTGTTAATCATTTGAATGCATCTGTATAATCTACTAGTATTTATACATAGTTTAATGAATAAAGATGCTTGTGATAAATTACCTGTATTTCGTTTTATTTAAACCATTACTTTTCAATTCCATTGAAAATTGGCGAGGAAGTATTCATGAATCTGGAAACTAACCTATGGTCAGTAAAAACGTCTACGTTCATCGTATCAATATTGCCACAGTGTTCAGGAAAATTTACAAAACTTGGATCGAGCAAGGTCATAGAGGAAGAACTGATTTTAGTTGCCTCGTCAATTATTTGATTAAAAAAGTATCAGGCAAAGTAATGAGATATCTTGTTATCCGCAATCAGCAGATTCACATTAACAACACCCAATGCGACAATATGGTCATAAATTGTCGATAAATGCAACAACAGGGCATCCAAGATTCAACTGCACAATTTAGACTGCAATAAGGTAACTGAGGGCGATTTGACTGATGAATGTTCCCAACTGAATCAGTTATAGTAATACGTTCACATTTTATATTATTGTTCATACCGGAATGTTAATTAAGTATGTGCCATAAATTCAATAGAGGATTTTTTGACTAATTTTAAGACAAAAAGTTCATATTAAATTAGGTCTGCAAATTCTTCGTTCTTAAGATACAGGGTGTTAAAATAAAAAAAGGTGATTCATAAATTTATTAAATGTCCCTTACCTATTTTTTTTTTAAATTTGATTAAATTTATTAAGGTACGCCACCGACTTTTGTGCAATTTTTATTATGATTTTTGGATTAAGCAAATAGAAATACAACTTTTTTGTCTCTTGAATGTTTTTCGTATCTTACTTAGTTTTCGAGAAAAAAAAAACACTTAATTGCATATCCCTGGACTACACAAGGAAAGTGGTGAAAAGTTTCTTTTGGAAATGATTATTTTTTATTACTAAGTATATAAATAAATAGTAAATAACATTCACTTCTAGACAACAAATTGCGCTAAATTAGATGTAGGAAATGCCCACCTTCGGCTTCAATATAACCGCCTAGCCGCCTCATCATTGAATTCGCACTTAAGTAAGATAAAAAAAATCAATCCCGTTCGAGACGCCACTGGACTTAATAAATCTAATCAAGTCAGGGCTAAATTAGCTCCTTAATGTTATAAATACCACCGCCAAATTACAACAAAATTAGGTAAAGTATATTTAAGATATTTACCAAAAACCTTTTTTTTTTTAATTTTAACACCCTGTATCTTGAGAACGAATAATTTGCGGAACTATATATGAATTTTTTGTCTTAAAATTAAGGTATCTGAAGGAACCATCTCAGTGAGCCAGGTTTCAGTAGTACATCAAAATGTTTGTCTTTGATAAGCACCGACAAGTCGATGAATGAAGGTACAAGCAAACGGATATTGGATGACCAAATTTTATTGAGCATACCTTTATCATAATCTATCCTACTTTCTAATTTATAAATATATCTTTGGACCTACCCCTCACTGGATGGTACATTGCACTGTACTTTGCAGCCGCAAATCTGCACTGCTTATCAGTATGACCAAACACTGAACACTTATAGCACTGCACAATTTTTAGGTGATCTGTAACTGCACGTTTCCCAACCAATAAAGAGGTATTTTTGCATCATTACGATTTTCTGTACCCTGAGAGAAGCCTTAAAGATGAGGTCACAGCCGTACTTTTCAGTTCGACAACTCCATTCTATATTTTTCTTGTATTTCAAGTTGGTAGGATTCACCACTTGTGCAATTCTTTTGAAAATACCGTCATAATTTTTCTCCGAGGATTATACTCGTACCAGCAACACCGATGAGTCATTGTTGGTATACAATGGTTTTTTCAGAACTTGGCTGTACGATGTACGGGAACCACTTTTTTGTAACATTACATCGCTTGTCGTTGATGTTTTTTAGAATTCAGCTTTTTCTCACAGACGAGATCATGATAATAATTGATACAGCTACTACAGGCTTTCTTCGTGGACTTAATTCATTGAAACAAAGACTTTTAGAACAAAAGGGGCACTTTGCAGACGCAGATCCGCACTGATATTTTTTTACAGATAATTAATTTTTGTATGTTATAAAAATGCTTTCTCGAGAAAACAAAATTTAGTTAAACATATGACAAAACCAAGTAACATATGTTTTAATAAACAAAACAAATTGATACAAAAAACTATAATAATAAAGAAATAAAACGCGAACAGTGAAAAACCACAACGGTTGAAAATTAGATTTTTTTTTAACACATTCAGTGCACACTTTGTTTGCTGCATTCTAGACACAGTTTTTGACAGTTGTAACAAACGTAGGCAGATTGCCTTTTTTCTCAGAAGGGCAGGTACCTGTAGCAAGTGTTTCTTTTGGCCAAAAGTTCAATTTTGTTTTCTGGCAAGATTTCGGGTTCAAGATATTGTAAATACTTGATCTGGATGACAAAATCTTCATCACATTCGTCTTCCAAATCACTATAATGGCTATCACATTCTTCATACCATTTTAGTAGCTGCTTCTCATAATTAGGGTCACCAAAAGACACTGATTTGGAACAACTTGGTTGAGGATCCATGGGATATAAATAATCGCAGAAATGCTAACGTGATGTCCGCCAGACGTATTGCTAGTCTTCTTCTTTTAAGAATTTCTAATCGTTTATCCCAAAACACCAGTTTTCCGGCCATCACTACTAGTTTATAGAGCAATATGCAGGGTTAGTTCAAAGGGCATTTTATAGCAAAATACACTAGCTTGCCTTGCCGATATGAATCGCAAACTATTCCGGAAGTTAAATGTTATTTTAATGCAAAAAAGGATGGGTTACGTTTTTTCTTCTAAACAAATTCAATCATTTCGTATTTGTGAGTAATTCCCAACAAAAGATGATAGACACATCCGCTTTGTTTTAAAATGTGTATAATAACGTGTTTTTCGAATATCGTAGCGCATTTGTTCAATTACTTACAAGTACGAAATGTTTGAATTTGTTTAGAAGAAAAAAACGTAACCTTTGTTTTTCGCATAAAAATAACATTTATCTTTCGGAATACACGTTTTCTCATTCTTTGTTGTCAAATAAAAAGTTTTCCCACAAAAATTGGTGTACCCATTTTATGCGTCAATGTTTTAAATACCCCCTCGAACGGTACTGCGATCTTTTGTAACCAGTAAAAAACAAATACAACACTATTTCACTATTTCCATTTATGTACCTACTGATCGAGCATTGGTGTACTAAAAAGTAGAGGCATGGTTGACCTTGAAACACAAGGCAGATCATGGGGCTGTATCGTTAGTTTTTCCTACAATTGTAGGACGCCTTTATGGCCTCCTTGATTTTCATAGTATTTTCTTGCATCCAAGAAGGCTGGGTATTTATAGATTTCTACTGTTCCGTGTCAGAGCCAACGCACTCCTGTTGTGAAGATACGTTTTCTTTTTAAATTCGTAGAAAATTTCGAGCTGATAAAATATGATATAAATCAAAACCATGAGCAATTGGATGAAAATAAGATATTTGTGACATAACCTCAGAATACAGCGCTGACATGCAAGATTAGAAAACTGTGAAAATCAAGGAGGCGTCCTACAATAAATTGTAGGAACGATTATACGGCCCATAGTTATGTGAAGACAGAGAAGTGCGTACGACTCCCAGTTGTCACATAGTCATTAGTCATCAGTTTTTAATGATTTAACTGATGTTATACAACATGAGTCCTGCCTTAGGGAAACGGCATTTAGTATGCAAATGCACTGAATTTGAATCCCCACACCAATTAAAGATTATGATGAAATTTTCGAAAAACCTAATATACAGGTCCGGACTCCACAGCAGCTTCAGCATAGTTACGTTTAGGTGCTTTCACCACAACCCTATGTTAGATTTAGTAACATAACGGTACATCACGCAATAAAATGTCAACCCTCGACCTAAATACTACGTTTTTGCACGTATTTAACTTCAAGTTGGACTGGAAGGTCAAATTTAGGGTTACCGTACACTTATGACCATATCGGCAGTCCTTTCCTTCAGTACGTCTAGGGTATTTATAGATTTTTAGTGTGCAAATGCAGTCATTAAGAAAACATATCCTAATAAATAGTAGAGAAATATTGTTTTTTCCAATTGATGGGAGAAGGTCCCATATGCATAAAAGCAGTCGACATCAAGCCGGAAACGGGGAATAGGCCAAGTCATAATAGTTATCAGAATAATATAAAAAAAGTCGTGTACTTTTCAAATTATATGCTTTATATGCTTCAAAGAAATCGGAGATGTACACCCTCGGTGATGACCGACTCAGATGGTCTAGTTTGTGTTGAACATGTTCCTTTATATACTGATAAGGGCGTTGCATGGGAAGTGGTGAGTCAATCTACTTGCCGCCATTTTTTGTAGCAAATGAACTTTTCTGAATAAAAAAGTTGTTAGCAAGTACAGAACGAACCTCTATCGTATCGTCAGTGGATCCTACCCCTTGATTTTCATAGTTTTCTACTGTTCCGTGTCAGCGCTCTATTTTGAGGTTATGTTACAAATATCTATTTGCATCAATTTGTTCATGCTTTTGATTTATATCATGTTATATAGCCTGAAATTTCCTTCAATTCAAGAAAACATGGTCTGACAATAGGAGAGCGCTGACGCTGACAAGGATCAGTAGAAATCTAAACATATCCCAGCCGTTCTGAAGGAGAGGAAAGACTATGAAAATCAAGGAGGTCATAGAGGCGTACAATTGTACGAACGACTGACGATACGGCCCTAACACAGTGGAAGCTGCTTTCCTGCTTATCGGCAACCAGTGCCGATCGGTACCGAATTTCGGCGCGGATGATGAATACAGTGCTGACGAGGAAAAATCGAACAAAACCTGCCTCTTGACAGCTCCAGCGTAGTCTTCGCGTCAACATGGGGTCTACCTCATCTGAAGAAGAATTTCTTGCATTGAACAGCTCTGCAACTAAAATAATCACTAGAAAGAAAGTAGGTATTCACCCCATAAATCGTGAGAGGGTACGACATTATGGTGAATATCCTCATTTGTTCAAGGCGTTGAAAGATGACCTCGGCACTGGTTGCCGGTAAGCAGGAAACCAGCTACCACCGTGTTTTCGCCCTAAGCTTACAAAAAACCAGAACAAAATACGGCTCCGCCTACGTAGCGTTGACGGATCCGTCAGAATTATGAGTCATTTGTCGATATGGGGAGCTAGATAATCAGCAGATCTCTGGTCAGCAGTTAATCTACCGTAATGAGTACTCGTGAATGAGACTTTAAACGAAACGAGTCTTTAAAGTCTCGTGTCTTATATCCAGCGTTTCAAAACAGTGCAATGAAAGGAATTGCGACTCCCATTCCCATCTCTAGTGTGTGAATGTGAAAGTTAACACTGCTCCCATCTCTAGTATGTGAATGTGAAAGTTTTATGTTTGAAGTCTGTAAGGTCTTTAGGGACTGTATTAATGTTTACAAATGTTGTTACGTCAGTGTGACTAGAGGGGCTAGGGCTAGTGATTATCAATCTCATCACTACTGCTTTGTGAGTCACGTGATATAAGTGATTTTTGTGATTGTTTATTGATGTTTTGAAAGCTATTTTGGTGTTTAACAACTCGGAGTGTTTTTGAGGTCTTTTCGTAGAACACACACGCTTTTCAATGCATTTGGGACTCCCTTTCAAAATTGACCAAGCACTGGTGACCGAGCAAAGAAAATGAACCCAGAAACTGATTTGCAAGCAGATTATAAGTCTTGCAAGTCGGAGGAAACTTACCTTTACTGTGTAGCAGATTATGATAGGTGAGATATGAACTACTCTTAAAATTCCATCAATATTTTATTGGTATACATGTCCTATGGACTTATTTTGTATTATGAATTCAGCCTCGCAACACTACATAATTATATATCTTCTGGGGATCCGTGGTCTATCAAAATTTTACTACTGAAAAAACAGTAAGTTCTCGACTTGGTGTTCCAAACTAAAAGCTGGAGATGTAAAAGATATATACAATTTTTGTGAAATCATTACCCTTAGGTTTACCATACTCCATTTCTTTAAAAAACTGTATTTCAACTCGAATCTTTGATTCAGGGAATACAATAAGGATGTAGACCTTCGACACCATAAGAAGAGCACAGTTCTTGAATACCAAATGGAGTATGGTCTATCTATGTTCCTTATTTCATAAAATTTTAGATAATGTCCTTTGACAATAAACCCTCGAATTGACATACAAATCCAAGTCCTGTACCCCTCTTTATTTTGAATCCTGGCAATGGGCACTAGTAATTCACATACAGCTCCCAAACAAAAAATAAATGGTTACATTATCCATACCTCAATCACTTCTTTATTTGCCATATGCTTGTTTTCCTACAGGTAGTGCCTTCAATCGAATTTAGTATTTTATGATGAAATACATTTATATTGTTTGGTACTAATCAATACTAATATTGTGTTAGTGTCGAACATAAACATTTGGATGGAGTTAATGAGGTGAAAATGGAGAAACCCACAATGGGTGAGATTAAATCGGAAGAACCAGAACCAGAACTGATAAACATGGAGATGGAAAACACGGTGCTGAATGATGAGTTTTGCATCAAATCTGAATATGATGAAGATGCCATAGCTGACTTAAAATGGGATCGGTGGGTCTAATTTTGATCTATTTCATTTTATGCTAAAAATACCAGAGAAACTAATCAGTTATACAGTGAAATCTCCTTTGGAAGGACACCACTGTGACTGTGTCTGTTCAAGAGGGGTATCCATATAAAAGAAATAACAAAAATCGTGTTTTTAATGAAAATTGAATATATTAAATAAACAGGGGAGTTTAAAACAAATATATGTATATGATTGTTTTTAAAATAAAAAACTTTAAACTCAAGAAAGAAAGGTTTGTTACTTTTAGGTATATCCTAAGTATGTACATACATATGTATAATATAATATAAGTAGTAACACAAAACAGTTGAATAAAAAGTCACTTCAAGGACGCAAAAATTCATATGTCTTGAAATCATTTTTGTAACTTAAAAAGAAGCTCTAAAGACTCTGAATCTCCCTGATTTTCGAAATTGAGCTGCTTGGTCAGGATAATAGCTTTACCATAATTTGGAATAGCTTCTGTTGGTACTGGAGCCTCATTGACATCAGAATCTTCAGAAAGTTCTTGTATTTTAACTGGATTTTCAATTTCTTGTCCTGCATCTGGATCTTACTCAAACAAACTTTCATCTAGGTTCAAAAAATTACAAAGGTGTTCATTATCAGTCAATTTCAATAAATTTTTATTTTTGAGGATATCAGAAAGTACATTGAGTGCAAATTAAATGAGAGTCACTTGGAACCATGAGAAACTGTCCATTTAAAGGAGGTGTCCATGTAAGAGGGGTGTCCGTGAAGGGTAATTTCACTGTATTTGAAAAAGGTCTCTTCATATTTATTTTTTTAATGGCTCAAGTTATATCATTTTTTTTTCTTCTGGAAGTCTAACATAGGACAAAAAAATCATAGATTTTGACAATTCTCATCCATTATCGTTTTAGAATAAAAGTTGAGCAGAAATTTGATCCTGGGATTGAAGCTGTCTTGATAGCAGACACAGCTGACCAGATCAAAATGGAGTTTCAGGAGTCTGAAAAAGTGGAAGAAAAACTACTTTTGCGCAGTGTAAATTCTGAAAATGTGGACGCATTAGGGCTTAATGAAGAAATACACATCAAAACAGAGTTTGACCAAACTTACGTGATTGATTCGGCGTGCGATAGGTGAGTCTTCTTTAGTCCTTGAGCTATCTATGATTACAATCATTTCAATCTCTCATTTACATATAGAAATTCTGCCATGAATGTGCAAAATTTTTATAACATATAATGCAAATTTTGTCGCAGGTTAATGAAAGTATGATTCCGTACACTGAATACCAAATTTGTCTGTTGAGTTCCATGTGTACGAGAGAAAAGTGTCTATAGATAAATGTGTTAAAAAGAGATAGAAGCTCATCACCACATTGACAATATGTTATACTTACACTAGTCCCTTGAATTAAGATGCATGTTGAAAATATGCGGTAGTTTATTCTCTACACCCAAATAATGGTTTTATTTTGAGCGTACACATTTGTGAATTGTGTTGAATCTGTGTGGGTCGAAACAAATTCTGCATCATTGCATCGTTGGTTCGCTTGGCAACACCGAAATGCAAAGTTTCCACCTCCATGATCATAGATGGGCGATTTTGGTCAGTACCTATCTAGCGCTCATTGGGGAGTGTCGTCTTGCTTCGAGGTAGTTCTCACACTCAGGCAGTGATCACTTGTATTGCGTAATGGTATTTGTTATATTTTCATTTCACCATTTTCACCACTCGCTGTCGCAAAATGTAACAATAACTGGGATCAAGGATGATTCTAGAATAAATTAAAACACTAAGTCGCATCAAAGTTGAGCCCAAGGTATCGTATTTGATCGAGGACGAGGGTTAATACTTTCACTGCTGATGTCACTTTAAGTTTTTTTAATAAATCTAAAGTGTAGCGCAACACCTTATTTTTTGATCACCCTGTATTCAACGGCTATAGATGAAAAGGACCTCCCCTTAGAAATCAAAATTCACGTGTCCGAGCGTTTTTCCAAAAATATATCCGGTATATGTTTTTAAATATCAATAAATCTACAAAAGTCATATCGAGTCTAATGCGGTATTTTCGCCTAAAATATATAATTCAACACTGATTATTAAAATCCTCATAAAAACGACATTTTACTGACAAGGTAAACAACTTAAAATATAGTAAGTAACGTTTAATGCAAACTTCAGATTCCGTGGCACTTGAATGAAATTGTGCTAAGCTGTAGATAGGTTTGCATTATCAAAGAACTTGAAATATAACAAAGCTTTCCTTTTTTTCAGCGCTCAAATAGAGAAAATGCGGGAAAAGGAACAAGAAAATCCACAGATAGAAGAAGGAAAACAATTTGTGCTGAACGTTAAAAAATACTTGTTATTCTCATTTTCGTATTCAAATTAAAACATCACTTATTACCACCACATTTACACAACCTAAAAAGTCATTAGCATAACTACAAAACTAGAGGCAGTATAGATTTCATCTGCAAAATTGTAAAAGTAGCATAACTAGCAAATCTGTATTTCAAAAGGCAGTATTTGAATTTAATAAATTGAATAATGAAATTAAACAGTGTTCGATTTGAAAACGTTTAAGGTGAAATTTAAAAATCGAATTATGAATACTCAAAATGCATAGTGATGTAAAGAATGCAAAATTACAGAAAATTGATTCAAAATAATGTGTAAACGAATAATTACACAACATTGACATGTAGCATTAATTCCAAATGAATCTTCAACAAACATTCAAAAATCAGTCAGCTAATCATACAATAAAAGATACTGGAGAACTTATTGATCTTATGTGTACAAAGCGTGTGTCATTTATGAATAAAGAGATATTATTTTGTGCAATCATATGTTACAGAAGCATAATGAGATTACTGCTTCTCTGTCTCATAAGATTCGAGAATGTACACATTGTGAATACAAAACTACACACAGGCAGTTTTCAGTTAGACATGAAAAATGTATTGTATAAACTGGGATGTATCATTGACGTATAATACACAGAGAAAACCAAACTTGTCTAACGGCTTGAGTTCAATGTGTACGAGAGAGAAGCCCGAGGAGCATTATCAATACATATTAGAAAGAGATATAGTCAAAATCACGAAAGATGACTATTACGTCATACCATAAATTGTACTGAAGTAATCAATGGACGTACGTCGATGATTAAATCACGATGTCAGGAACATAATGACAACAAATTTGTATTATGATTTTGCGAAGTTAGGTTATTTCACTTATTATTTTTATTTTTTGGTTTTGAGTGATACAGTAATAATAATTTTAGTGGGGAGTTAGAATAACGAAAATTGAAGTGCTGAATTCTGAATATGTACAAATAAACATTTTTGTACACCTATGTAAATGTTGCGGCCTCATGTGAATGTAGTCAATTTACGTTTCTTTGCTTTATTTTCGCTTGCAAAGCTGTCGTCTACCAATCACAATATTGAATTACAAATGAAAAATTGTATGGCAGTTCCTGTCAGCAGTTTTTTCGAGTTTACCCGCGGCAAAACCTGACAGCTGTTATCACCAAAAATTACAATACCTTTGATAACAAGTAATTATGGTCTCCTATGACACCAGAAAACGACGCTAAGCAATTGTCAATACATGTTGTAATATTGTTTTTAAACAGTGCTATGTAGTGAAAATCAGTGTCGCTTTGAAAGTGATTCTTTGACTAATATTGATCTGGCGATTGAGAAAAGTGTGCCGTACAATTCCGTTAAAACCCCTGCAAGGCAAAGAAATACGAGCTTTTGGAATCTACAAGTTTAGAGCAACTAAACCTAATCCTGAAAGATTGAGCGTGGAAGATGAAGAAAGAAAACTGTGAAAATAATTACAAAGAACTAGTTGTGAAGACAATGTGGAATACCGTTGCAAAAAATGGAAGGCATGTATTTTGTGAAGTGGAAAATAATGTTTGATCCATTTAAAGACATTATCTTTAAGTCTACTAGGGAAGATCGTAATGCAAATTCCTTCGATTTGCAGGTACTTCGAAAAAATACTTTAATAGGTAGTATGTTTTGTAAGTTATGTGTATGCAGAATAAGCTGTTACTCATGGAACAGTCTTGTCAAATATCATTCGGGCATCTAATTTTTTTCCTGTCAAAAAATCTAAAAAACAATGCAAAGTAATATTTTTTTAACAAAAAACATTCGTGCAGGTGCAAAAATTCTCGTCTTCGTCTCGTGTTTTTGTTGCCACCAGCACTTCTTATTGAAAATTACTTAGCAACGTATTTGACATCTTTCTGATAAGTGCTTAGAAAAATAAAAGTTGGTGAAAGCTTCTATGGCGCCGCTGCTTTTTGCAATAGGTCTCGGAAGTTACATTTCCTGGTAAGCTTGACTTATCGGGTAAGACGTCAGTGAAACATGAACAATAAATAAGTAAAAGATTATCTAAAAAATACCTTTTCCTTGATTCAATTACCAATTCATTTAATGTTCATTCGGCCTGCAGTAGTCTGTAATCATCTTCAAGAGCATGGAAAGTATAACTTTTGTCCTCTGAATGTTAGTTTCCCAAATAGGTCCCTGAATGTCTTCAAAAAACTTCATCAATATATTGCCAGTAGACCATACTACTATCATCCACGGATTTATCTGCAAAGAGAGTTCACATAAGTAATACAATTTAAATAATACCTTTGCTTATGCAACCTTCTTCATGCCATACTCTCCAATACTTACCCTGTACAAAATTTGATGATTGACGGCAGTTTTCATGTATTTCAGAATACTATAAATTAGGGCTTTAATCATTCTTAACAAGTTTCTCTTGTTCCTATTCAACCTTTTTACCCAGGTCATCTATGCCCAATGAAACATTCATCCGGCTATCCGGGCAGTGAATTTTTTGAGCTGCCTATACAAATCTTTATCCTCAATATTAATTATATCACTCTCGGGAGTGCCATTCCTGAAAATGGGAGTATCCTCCAAAGTTGATCAAAATATTTGGGCTGTGATTTTGAAAGAAAACCTGAAGGTTTTCGGATAGCAGTTCTGTAAAGTACGTAAAAATAAGAAATGTGGAACCACATCTTAGATAAAAATAGATATGTCCTTAGAATATGTACCTATAGAAATGTTAAATACCAAATGTAATTTGAAATTAAAATTATAATGTAATATATCATTATCATCAATATTTATCATAGTTCATCACCATTCTTAAAATACGGAATGTCCTCACTCTCACCTAAAAGCTGAAACAAACTAAGAAAGACACTACGATTTTAAAGCATAAATAATCAAAGACAATACACATAAGGAACGTAAAAATAAGAATTGTGGTAACCTATTTGGATTGTAAATACATTTTATCTTTAAATAGAAATAGTGAATGCCAAATATAATTAAAAAAAAACATGATCATAAATATAGTTTTGGAGACCATCGCGGAGCCATAGCCTGGAGCAAGTACCTAAGATTTACTACTAGCCCTACTATCACTAAGACTAACCATCGCTAAGAATTACCAGAACTACTACTACTGCTACTACTACCACTACTACCTTCTTATCAGGTTACTTTGCATCTACGGGCACACTTATAAAATCTGAAGTTTTTACATATCGCATCTCTGAGAAACACTGAACGATTTTACGTCAGCTACGTGTTTTGGAAGACATCTCTCTGAAAATCGTTAACCAAATATCTCGCGGAACATTTCCTCACACATTGCTCATGAAAAGTAATCATCGTGTTTAATACAGTAGTTGGAGAGAATCATATCATCATACGTACGAGTACTTACATCAGCACCATATTAATATCTGGTAGTGTTCTGTTAAATTCTGGATCCCTGTTTAACAGCTCGGCCATGGATCCAGGGGAATTCATTTATTCTATTTCCCCTCTTCTTGACGAACGTTTGCACAGTGCAATCGTTGAAGTTTATCACAGTTTTGCCAGCTGAAGTCCAATAATACTGCAGAAAAATTTATGAGAAAACCCATAACACATAAGTCGTATATAAAAAATATAAAAACACATCTACCTCTGATGTACCTCCGCAAGGGCATGATGAGTCGTCTGCATACCTCGATTAGCCCAAGTATGATCTGAGCAAAGGCATCATGAGGAGTGCCCCTGCATGATCCGAGGAAGAGTATTATGAAGTGTGCTCTCGCATACTATGAGCAAGAACATGCATCCCTCGATGAAGAGTCGTCTGCCAAAAAACTCAAAAGTCACTAGAATTTGATTTAAAAAAAATATTCAAAGTATACGAAAAAAAAGGGTGTTGATAAATTACCAAAATACATTACATAGTGTGGAGAATGTACATTTATTCAGAAATTATTTAATAACACCCAAAATTCACTTGAATTGTTGAATTTATTGTAGTTAAAATTCGCACTTTAAATATTGTTGTTTTCGAGGCCAGTTTACTAAACAGAGATTAGAGAACTTTGTAGACTATAAAATTCGCAAAAATTTACTAATGAATGAAGATTTGTTTAAAAAAGGTATTCAAAATATACGAAAAAAATACGTCGATAAGTTACCAAAATATATTACATAAAAGTCGCATAAAAACACATTTATCTCCACGTCCATATCCCTCGATGTGCGCCTCCAAGTTTTGCGAAAGAGCATGATAAGTATGCTCTGAGCCAGGACATGTTGAAGAATTGTCGATCTCCCTCGATGTGCCCCCACATTGCAGGGTGCCCAAACAAATTCCCTAACATTTCCCTAGCTACTTTCAAAGTTTGCAACCGTTTTGTTATTTTTGAACCGACGCTTTTTCCTAGTGATCCCTAACTTTATAAATGGGGCACCCTGTCTGAGGCGAGGGCAGAAGAATCTCGCTCGTGCTGGGCTGTGAACCCTACACCAATAAGAAAACCCTAAATGCACTTACCTTTCAGCAAACTGCTCTAGTCCCTGGAACAAGAAGAAACAGGATGAGTATACAAGTATAGTAGACGACAACGATATTGTGGTGAACCCAGCGCGATGCAACAGAGCGATACTCGGGAATATATTTTTCGTAAGATTATTTTTTCAAATAAAGAAGTATGAAAGTGAAATGAAATATGTATTTAGGTGAATGATTTGATGTGTGGCTCCCGAACATAGCAAATTAGGTAAGCAACTTAACATCTTTTACATTGCTACCATCAGATATACATATTTTGGTCGAGCTATAAAAGCTATTTTCGTAGTTTGTTTCCATTGCGTCGTACTATTATGTTTTCTAATATCTGGTTAAATAGATTAATATAAATAAAATAGTTCGCTATAATACAGGGCGTTCGAAAAATAGACGGACATGTTTTATAGGGTTCCTTGTTGAAAAATATGAAAAAAAGTTTCTATGAACGTTGGTCCGGAAAGGAGTTTTCAAGGTACATGGCGATGTATTAAAAAAAATGTATCCAGTGACATGCAATTAAAGGTTTTTTTTTTGAAAACGAAGTTAGATACGAAAAAATACAGGAGACAAGGAAGTTGTATATTTAGATTTCTAATCAAACAACAATATTAAAGTTACAAAAAAGGCCGTGGCGTACATTTTTTTCCAATAATATTCGCTAAGGTGCCCCCCGGGACTACACTGGACCTAATAATTTAACCTATTCAGGGTTAAATTAGCCTCTTAATATATCAAATAATATTGTCAAATTTTAACAGAATCGAGTTAATATTTTATAAGATAATAAAAAAAAGATTTTTTTAAATTCATCACCCTGTATCTTGAAAACTCTGCGTTTCCGGACCCACGTTTATAGGAACTTTTCATATTTTTTAACAAGGAATCACCCTCTAAAATATATGAACTAAGAATTTTACTTCATTTTGAATTTACCAATAAATAAGCAAAATATTTAGAAATTAAGCATTTGATGGAAAGCATCGCAAAACCACAATATTCAAATGAGAAATTAACTGATGATTTTTGCATGGGAAGTACAGGGTCAATTTACTTGATACCACTTTTTTAAAGTTCAGCTCATTTTATTTCCCTTTGTGAAGCCTACTGTCGACGAAGTATAGTAATCGCGAAAGATTTCTAAAAGGATGTTATATGACATCACGAAAAACCATGTCACTTATTTCCGTCGATCTGTCCGCGAATCTCATAACCGTCTATAATTCGAGTACCATTCGGATTTCGATGGCATTTTTATACAATGTTACTACAACGCTAAGGACGCAAAAACTTTGTTGGGATAGAAATAATGTATATTCCTTTATGTACTGAATGTGTGCGAAGTCAACCTACTTGACGCCATTTTGTGAAGTTCAAATTCATTTCTCGAACCTGACACTTATCGAATTCAAAATTTGATATATACCTAGATCTACGGTGTCTATTAAATACCCGAACACCCCGAAAACTAGACAATCACACATTTTTTTGGAAATTTTCACATGGGTAATACCGAGACAATCTACTTGATGCAATTTTCCAATGTTTTAGTTGCTGACAGATTTTCTATACCCTGCACCTATTGACAAAATGGTAGAAGTATCAGTATAAGATGTTAGATAAGACTATAGAATCATTAAATTTGAAAGAATGGAGGAAATTCCACCACAATATCTAGAGCATTATCTTTTATGTGGAGCGCCATTCTTAAATGTTGAAATGCTATCTTCAAGAGGGACCAATGGACTAGAAATGAAACGTCAGACACAAAGTTTTAAAACACCATCATGTAGTGCGGAAATAGTGCCATTAGTTTTTTGATTTCTCAAAATAAAGTCAGACAAAACTAGAAACGATTTGGCCAAATTTTAGTTTTTCCAATAAGAATATAACTAATCTTTCAGTCTATGCATTGTACTCAATTTACTAAAAAACAAAACATAGGATGTCAACCCTAACACACAACTAGATGAGAATGCAAGGCTCACCTAGTTTGCCGGCCAGATATCCTATTTCTCTCAGAAGAGTTGGAAGTAGACCTAATTTCCACTTTGGAGGCACTTGACACTCACTTCACAACACTAAAGCACCACTGAGACACAATCGAGAACCCTATAGTGAACACCACCACTGAAAAAAGTAGCTAAACCGAATACAGCGCTGCATGGAGCTGTGATCGCGTAGGCATACCGCTGCGCCGACAGCTGCCGAGAGACTGAAGACTGAAACGTGTGAGTGCTGTACCTCGCTGCGGCGTCACGGTACGGCGCACGGCAGGGTAGTAAGCCACACCCCTTTCCAGCTTCCACTCGACGCGTCTGCTCCCGGACAACGTAAAGGAGGGTTTACACTCTACGTCTTATTGTTCGTTTTGCGGGATAGGACAAATCCTAGCCAATAAAACATGACTTGTAAACAGCAAAACGGTCTTGTCGAATCGAAATGAAATCCACGGTCGGATTGAAAAACTGATGGGAGAAGCATCATTTTGCGAGAACTGATAGGACAAAATGAAACGTGTAGACTTATGTTCAGACAAGACGTCCGATCTTCGCTCAGTTCACGAGTAGCTCCACTTCAGTTCGCTTCTTTTCCCCAAAAAAACCTAATAATATCAGACTTGCGGCAATGTACGCACGATTTTCTCGGGGAATTAATTGAAATGTATTAAAGTTTTCCGTGTTTGTGGCAAGTGAAAAATAAAGACTATAGTGACCGTAATAAAAAAAACGTCGCGTATTGAGGATCTTATGAAAATATACTAAGAAATAGACCTAATGGCAAATAAATAGACTGTTCCAAAAAAATAAAATCGTTGAGATCAGATCAGAAATCCCCGTTACTAACTCTAGCAATTAACAATAAGCTGAGGTGTTCATTCGCTAATAATTGCGCCAGTCATCGGTTTTGCTCCTCAGTTGTTTCAATACGAGACGTGGGAATACTGGCGTCATTCCCTTTTCTCTCAGTCGTTGTATCTTTATAGTTGAAAAAATGGAAGAAAGCAGCCGTGTTTCCTACATAATAAAAAAAATGTCTCTCAACAAACTTCACGCAACTCAAGAGTCTGTATTGGATCTGTACTAGAAAGCGGAATGCAAAACACGTAGTGTGTAATCACTGGGCAAAACGTACGTGTAAACCCGCCTTAAACATCGAGTCGCTTCGTGATACTGTCAGATAAGAAAACTAAAAAAAAAAACAAAACAACTTTTTTACTACGATCTTGGTAGTTAAAAACGTTCTGCATAACCGATTGAAAATTAGTCTAATTATATTAGCAAATTTTCCCGAAATACTTGTAAAATCGGGTTTTATTGATGCAAGGTGTTCAAGGCGGTATTTAAATCATGGACGCATAAAATGGGTACACCAATTTTTGTGAGAAAACTTTTTATTTCACAACAAATAAAGAGAAAACGTGCTTTTTTGGGATTCAATTGAAAGTGTTGGCAGGAACGAAAAAACTCTTCAAATAAGATTTTTAGGTATATATGGGATCTACAATATCAGACCACATGTAAAAAGATAAGACTAATAGGAAAAAAATAATCTTCAAAAACTTAAGCTTTTTGTTAAATAAATTATTATTATTCTGCATAGTATTTTGCTGTAATTTAAATATCAATCCTATGCTACTCTTGATGTTACTCCAAAAACCTAGACTCGCACTATTTAAACACATAGAAATCTACAATATAAATAACCATTTTATGTTTATGTGCAAATTGTGCACAGTATATATAAACGATTGAAAATTTTACAATATTAGAAAAAATACTAATTTGCATAGAACATGAACACTATCAGTCTCATGGTTTTGTTTGCTCTTGCACGTATAATAGGATTATTTTAGTTTTTTGGCAAACATTTCCACGCCTCAAATTTTATATATCTCCATTGATATTCCTCAATATTTTATTCAAAACTTCTTTTTTTATAACATTCTAACAAAATAGCATAGGTAGCAAAATCGTCCGATGAGCCGCAATCCAAATGACAGGAATAACAAGGTTAACTGTTAAAACGTATGTCTACCCCGGGGTAACGATGGAGTCATTTAGAACGTCAAGGTGGCAGTTTTCCAATTTTCATTTGCATTATTTTTTGTTAACCAACGATTTCGAGAAAAAATTCGCTCCGGATTGTCTAGAGTCTAGTAGAGTATATTTCAATAGTTGCCTTGAGTGGCTATGCTATCTTTACTCGGGCCTTAGGTTTTTTGTGCATTTTTTTGTCAATAGTTTTTGAATTTTCATTCGTCCATTGTCACAGGTGGCCTCGATATATTTGGCAACGCTTTCTCCTGTCAGATGACAGCTGATAAAAATGAGGTTAAGGGTGAATCATTTTTTATAAACAGTGCACCAATTTTAATCCAAATCATATGAAAACAAACATTGCACACAATGTCTGATAACGTAGAAATAGACCCTGGCGCTACTCATGAGAGTGGCCTAGTCACCACCAATTCTTTCGACAATCTGGAACGTATGAGCTCCAGCTTGGAAGAAATCAAAAGTACAAACGCAATATCACATAGTGAAGATTCTAACGATAACTCTAACATAGAGCAACTGGAAGAAAGTACAAACTATGTTAAAGACAATGTCGAAGAAGGCGAGATCGAAGTTAGCAGAGAATGGACTAGTAAAAGCAAGCATATATTTGTACTCAGTCAAGCAGGAAAGCCAATTTATTCAAGGTTGTTGCGTTGCTATTTTCTCGTACACAATGCTCCTTACATTTGGTTCTTTGCAGATATGGGAATGAGGATAAGTTGGCTTGGCTTTTTGGTGTAATGCAGACCCTAGTCAGTTTTATACAATCTAGCGATGATACTATCAAAAGTATACATGCTGGTGATACTCATTTTGTATTTTTAATAAAGAAACCATTGATCTTAGTTGCAGTCCACAAAACTCAGGAGAGTGAACAACAACTTATTACTCAACTAAAGTAAGTCATATCAAAAGACATCTATATATTTTGCAAAATCATTATCATTAGATTTACCATACTCTGACTACACTGATGTCAAAAAGTTGTACCTCAACAATAATCCTTGATTTACAGAAGAGATTTCTACATATGTTTTTTTGACTCAATATGAAGAATAAAGTCTGGCTAAAAATATGGCTTTCAGATTTGCAAAACAATCAAAAGCAGAAATATACAATATAACTCAGGTTTCTCTCACCACAATATAAGCTGCCAGCGGTTCAGCTGTGACTGTAATTATCTTAGAAAAAAAGTTTCAAACAAAACTTGTATAGTCTCAAGGCCATTGTAACCTTCAATATCATGTGAATATTTTTAAATACAACTCTGACTTTTTTTATACCAGATTTGGAAAAGAGAACATTTTATGTCTGAATATGACCTTGACTGATCATCATCATGACATTCAAGCTCGTCTCAAAAGACACTGAAAACAATATGCATAAAACATTGTGTTCTTGTTTTGAGGTTTTTGAGGGTCACCCATAGGTGGCCATGACCTTGACTATCACCTCACAGGTTATGTCCAAATTTTACACGTTTGAATATAAAATCTGCATTTTTGGCATATAAAACAAGGGATTGCTTTACAAGTAACATTTAAGATTGACATGATTGACATTGACATGACCTTGACTTTGACGTCAAGGCTACGTTCTGACGTCTTGCGTTTTTCAAGGTTAAAATGAAGGGTATCCTTTGAAAATCGTAACTTGACCTTGAAGGTCATTGTGGGTGGCCCATACAAACATCACAACTATGCTAAAGCAAATTGTATTCAATGTCTTTACTTGAGCTTGAATTGGCTTTGAAGGTCATGATTATGATCAAGGTCAATTTCTTACGTAAAATATACTCCTCTTTAGGTGGGGAGGTATATAGCTGCAATATGGTCAAAATGACTAGGTGACCATAGTTGCCAATACTATTGATTTTTATTTTCAGTTATGTTTTCAACCAAATAACAAGCATACTAACACTCACAAGACTGAAGAAAATATATGAACAGCGTCAGAATTATGATCTTAGAAGGCTTCTAACTGGAGTAGAAAGATTAATAGACCATTTGTTGGATTTCTCAGAGAAAGATCCATCATTCCTTTTAGGTGCTGTTCAATGTCTACCACTCGCAAACTCAGTTAGGGACAATATCAGCTCAGCAATTATCTCATCTTGTAATAAAATCAAGGTAACAGATTAATTGATCTTTTCAGAAGACATTGCAAAAATAAATTATTCAGTAGTTTTGTCATTTTTATTTTATCTACTTTGAAGTAAGTTCAATTTTTTTTCAGAATTTAGTGTTTGCAATATTGCTAGCTGACAATAAACTCATCACACTAGTTCGTATGAAGAAATACTGCCTCCATCCTGGAGATTTACATCTGATCTTTAACCTAGTTCAAGCCTCAGAAAGTTTGAAGAACTCTGAGAGTTGGACACCATTATGTTTACCAAAGTTTGATGCCAGTGGATTTCTGTATGGTCATGTATCTTACCTAGCAGAAGACTGTCAGGTATAAGCACCATGTTCTTCTTTTACTGTCACAAAGTAATCAGTTTAGGAATTTCTTTCGATTGTCCATCAATTTGAGAATAGCACTTAGAACTTTAGCTATAAATGTTTCTGGTAGAATTGTGTATAACCGAGTAGACTGCAGAATGGCTCCTCTTTATCAGGAACTGGTTGACTTGATACTGCCTTTTTTTGCTCTAACTTAGATAAACATGGCGTTACAGTTAATGAAGATTTAGAAATATTGAATTTCAAATTGTATTCTAGTTCTACCAGGTTTACACCAGATTTATTATTGCTAACATTACGGACTAACACAAAGATGCCACTTGCTGATCAGCCGTTCACCTCAATACACGCCAAAACGTGATGGATTCTCGTGAAAATAACCACAACTTTTTGATAGGTAATTTTATTATAGGCTTGTTTGTTACTTTTAACCGTGGATCGTGACGTATTTTTCACACTGAGCGAGGCCAAGCAGCGCATTGTCGAACGCCTTCGTCGAGGGAACTGTTTAGAAGCTATAAATGAAGCAGTGGTCTCCAGTGATGCCGACTGGAATGGCGCCGGGTTTCCAGAGCTGAGACATTACCTTTACAAAGTAAGTAAATCGACAGAGCTTTTGGGCACTGTTAGCACTAAAAACAATCCAAATGGCGCCTCGAGACTGAAGCAACTGGCTTACCTTGTTCGGAGATAAACTGATCATTGGAGCTGAAGATTCAACTTTATTTTCCATTTGACTGTACAACAGTGTAGGGAATTGTCACGCACAAAAAAATAATACAAAACGATAAAAAAAGCTAAAACGATCTCCTGCCTATTAATGCAATATCTTGCAAATAAGTCGAAGTAAAGAAAGACACATGTGCATAAAAATTCATACTTCCTGATTTAATCCCTGTACCATTTTAAAACTTCTCTTAAACACACTTCAGGCTATATCTTGGGGCAAAAAAATTGAAAACAAAAAAATATGAAGTTGCCCAAATTTTGGTTTGAAATGTTTACTTCCGGTTTGGCACCTAAGTTTTTCGAATCTCAAATTTGGCTTTTTCATGAAAAAGTACAGATAATTTCCTACATAAAACGTTATGTTTCAAATCCTACTATAGTATCTTTCAATTTGAAAAAATGTTCCGAAAAAATCCCTCTTTCGAAAAAAAATTCTGTCTTTTTCACACTTACTAGATGTTCTAACACGTCCCATATGAACGAATCTTAAATCGTCACTTCTCTGTGTATGCCGTTTTCAATGTGGAACAGGCTACGTAACAACGCGCATTAGTAAACATGTGCGACGGGAAAATCTCGTCAAGTCATTTTGATTTTGCTTTCGGTGAAAACGGTTTCCATGATGTTCTTTTCTCACCGAAAACATCATAATCATATTTTTCTGTTTAGTGCAAGTCCACGGCGCAGTTCTACCAGCCGCCGTTAGGGCCCCCATATTCGCTGAGCCTCCGTCGTCTGATGGACGTTTACAAGAGGTCACACCAACGATTGCACTCCTCCGCTCGTCCTTTGAAGCTGGCCTTCGAGAGGTCTGCCAACGAAGCTGTTCTCGCATGGGATACGCGGGGATTCGAACTCTACGCGACCTTTGAACCTCTCACATCGACAGCGGCAATTATCGCTTCCGTGGGAAAGTTGCTGGATTGGGTTAAGAAGCGCGAAGATAAGTTGTTTTGCTTAAATGCGCCTACTTTCTGAATTATATGTTTTGGGGTCGAAAGGTATATTCTAACTAACCTTGGGCAGTTCAAATTCGGATTAACAAAGATTCTTTAGGCTCCTGATAGTAGCCGCGGTGCCCTAGTATTTAGGCTTTTGATGGAAGGAAATTATCCTTTATTGTTTGTTGTTGACAGATTGTCATGTAATAAAAATCAAATCCTACTGGATGTTTGCAGGAGGAAAAAAACGAGTAATTCGCATGGTCACTGAAAAACATTTTTAGAAAGAGAATACCTTAACTTGTGATAGTATGGGCATCTATCTGAAAGATATTGTTTCTTATGTGGAACAGCTTGTTAGGCAATATACATCCATTATTAAATATAATTTATTGTAATTCTCTTGTATATATTGTGATAAGTGTATGATTTTCTTACAAATTTGATACCGAAAAAATACAAGGAATCTGTTGAAACATATTTTTATACATTGTCTTTTTTCTCCTCTGTAATTATTTTGTTGAATTTTAAACATGCTATTATGTGATTCAATTTAAAAAATATTGTTTCTGTTGTATATTACTATTATTTTCATATTCATGTGATCATTGATACCTATGATGTTGAATAAATTGTAGAGATACATTATTGTTAAGAATGTGCATTAAAATTAAAATAACTTGAACGTACCGTTTGTTTTCATTCTCCAGCCCTTTTGTGTCAAGCTTTTTTTGAGCAACTTGAATTTGAATTAGTGGCGATAGGTCTTGATCGACGCGTTCGGCGTGCGGGTTAAATAGTGACAATGGAACGTTGGACCCGAGCGTAAAGTGCTTTTGCTATCGAGGCTTACTTTAAGAGTGGTGATTCATACGCAGCTGCCCTTCGGAAATTTTGTGCACGATACAACATTCGCCGACCAAGAGATGCCTCAAGTAAGAACCTAGTGAAAAAGAGGATTAAGAGGTTCATCTACCCATTCCTGCTGCATCAACCAAAGAAAATATGGGTCGAGTAAGTGATTCAGTCATTGCAAATCCTCGGCGTTCTGTACGGAAGCGTTCCGCTGCTTTGGGAATCCCTAGGTCAACACTGCATGGCATGAAGGAGAAAAAGATGGGTTTATTTTTTTGTGCGGCTATCTAAAGTCAAAAGTGTATTCCATTAATCCACGAACACCGGATGAGATTGAACACAACATTCGATGAGAAATAGACATCACTCCGGAACTCTGCAAGAGGGTGTTATTTACGCGCGCGATTAGAAGAGTGTCCGAAGTGATGGCAAACATTTGGACGGAATGATATTTAAAAAATAAAACTAGACGAATTTACGAATACGTAGATAGTAATAAATGTTTTCTTTTTATTAAGTTTGTATTTTTTTCTTAGATCAAAAAGTGAACTTTCCCCTTTAAACCCATTTTTCTTTCATCGTGTAACACAGTAATAGACAGTTCTAAAAAGAAACAATTTTATTCGGTCATTACAAAAAAGTACTGAATTTAGCTTGGAAATGTGTACTTATCAGGAGCACTGTACAAATAAAAAGTATCGAACATTTTGCATTATTTACACCTTTTTAAACAATCAAACATAATATACTAAGTGACATATAAATCCGAACACCCAGTTTAAATGGTTTTATTTTAATACAAGTTGGTGAATGTATTTATCTTACTGTAAATAACAAGTGAAAAAATTTTCAGCCTTATCAGTTGGACATTCCGGTTTTTATACTGCTTTTTTTTAATTCACTAACGCTCTAAAAATGAATATTTCAGCCGCAGTAAAGAATCAACGTTGGCGGATTTTGGTTCTTGACATCCTTTACGATCAGTTACGATGCCTAGAGTACGGAATTTCGTCAACTTAGTGAGTTTGATAGGGGCCGTATAGTGGGACTTCGGGAAGCTGGACTTTCTTTTCGGGCAATTGCAGTTAGAGTGCAAAGAAGTGTAGACACTGTGGTTAGGTGTTGTCAGGCATGGCTTCGAGAAGGCCGTACGCAAAGAGCAAGGGGCACTGGACGCCGCCGTAGAACAACAGACCGTGAAGATCGCCGCCTAAGATTATTGGCCTTAAGGGACCGATTCTCCACTACCAGGTCTATTGCAAATGAATGGTTTGCAGAACACGGAAGACCTATTGGCATGCGAAGTGTTTACCGACGAATGAGAAGTTTTGGCTTGTTTTCATACCGGCCACACTGGGTCCTCCCTTTAACTCGAGAACACCGACGTAATCGCCTTGAGTGGTGCAGACAACGGTCACTCTGGGATCAGGAATGGAACAGTATTGTCTTTAGTGACGAGTCTCGATTTTGTTTAGGCATGCACGATGGTCGTGCCAGGGTTAGAAGGCGACGTGGTGAAAGGAGGAATCCACAGTTTTTTGTTGAAAGACATGTTCATCACATTGTTGGAGTTATGGTTTGGGGTGCTATAGCTTATGGTTCCAGGTCACCTTTAATCTTCATCAGAGGTAACGCAGCGTTATATCCACGAAGTACTAGTACCCCATCTTTTACCCTATCTTGACACCCTGGCAGATCCAACTTTCCAACAAGATAATGCCCGACCACATGTTGCAAGAGTCACAATAGACTTCTTTCAACATAATGATGTCACATTGTTACCATGGCCACCAAGATCTCCCAACTTATCCCCAATTGAGCACGTGTGGGATATGATGGGTAGGAGATTGCTCAATTTGCAACGTCCTCCTCAGACTCTAGAAGCACTTCGAGAGGAGTTGGTGGTTGCCTGGAATGAGATACCACAGGAGGACATTGACCACCTGATCAGAAGCATGCCTAGGCGCGTTGGAGAATGCGTAGCACATCAGGGTGCATCCACACATTATTAAAGGTCAAAGGGCTTTAAAGCAGTGCAATCGTTTTTAAATTTTTATCATTTACTTATTATGCTTCATTAAGTACTTATACAAAATTTTATTTAAATAAAACCATTTAAACTGGGTGTTCGGATTTATATGTCACTTAGTATATATTTTACAAATATTTAATAGATCTTATACTCCGAGAACTGTTTGTCTGACGGCTTGAGTTCAATGTGTACGAGAGAGAAGTGTAGATAGACATATACAGGGTGGCACAACGAAAAGGCCGCACCCCCATTTTCGACTCTATATATTTTGGGAAAAACGCACGTCAATTTTGATTTCCAGTGGCACATCTTTTCATCTATAGCCGTACAATAAGCCTCCATTTTTTATTGTCTAGATTTTCCATGAAGTTTTTAGTAACTTTTATATAATCAAGTTTATACCTATCTTCAATCGTTGTCAAGCTATTTGAGTTTATAATAAAATTCGATTAACTTAATACTGATAATAATGGAATGCACGACAAAAAATAATAATCATGGATAAGGAAGAACATTTAGCATCAGTCTCCTACTGTTAAAGGTTCAGGCTCTTCCTCAATAACTTCCACGCCTTTTCGGGCTCGGACTTTTCGGTGGAGGGTCCCGCCCGGCGTGCCGGCGCTGGCTGCAAATATTCGGCGATGTCTTTCTGTCTTGCCCTTTTTTCGCTGAACACTCGTTTCGTAGAGCTCAATTGTCTACCCAGTTGACATGCAAATTTATGAGGTGCAATATTAGGAATCATCCGGGCTCGAACAATACTCATCTTGTATTGTAGATAGTTTTCCATGTCAAAATGATCTTCGCAGCAGTACATGGTCGACGTGGAAGAAACTGATCTTACATCTCGTCCAGCTGCGTCAAACCATTTTTTACGTTGTGCGACAGCTTTTGGAACACTCACAAACATTTTTGGTGGTGTTGTACTTGACGTACTGGTACATTTTGGCACAAAACACCACTTTCTGTTCGACATTTAACACCGTCAAAGTTCACAGAATTTAACAATAATCTATCGTACCAGCTCGAACTACTCCAAACCGATTACTGGGGCGTTGTTGTGAGAATGATTAATGCAGCGGGCCAGCTAGCGAGGTGTGTCTGGCTACTGACGTCACGCGGTCTAATAACAATATTTTTTATCGTTTTTTAGTAACAAAATCTCTCGATTTGAGTAAAAATCAAAAAATGGCAAACCTTCCTATTTTCGATATTGGAGTGACGCGAATCCACATTTGTTTCCAGAGGTACACTCGAGATCTTCGTCAGTGCATTGCGGCTGAATGTAGACAAATAAGTCAGGACATGCTTGAAAATGCGAGGTATAGATTCGAACAAAATCTTTATTATTTATGGAGGTAAATTGACACCAGTTTCAGCACTTATTACCACATTGACTACCTCTAACAGCAAATTAATTTTTACTTTAACTTGCGTGTACACTGCGAGTTGTTTTTTGATTGTAATAAATAGTACACAAGTTCTTCATACTAATACTTGGGCATCTGCATAAATTTTTCTCGGCAAGAGATAACTGGATGTGAAGTCAAACCTTTTTGTTGAGCAGGGGAGGAAATTTATTCGCCGACTGAATTAGCTTCACGATGTACCAGTATATGCCTCATCAGGTCCGACTTCCTAACGGTTTTATACATGCAAGTCGGACATTGATATATTTTTCTTGAAATAGACGCTATAACGTCAGGATGTTTCCTCACTATGTGATCATCTAGCGCTAACCTATTTTTAAACGAAGTGTTGCAATGTACGCACTTGCTAAACAAACCGGAAGCCTCATCGGGATGCACTGACATGGTATGTCTATCTACGTTGTTCTTCAACGTAGTGATGTATTCACATTTCGAACATTTGTGGATTTTGCTAGTTACTGAGGTAATATAACTGGGATGTTCTCGAATTACGTGATCGTCCAACACCTGTCGACTTTTGAATCCGACGTCGCAATACGCGCATCTGCTTAGTTCGTATTTGGAAGGAACGTTCGGGTGTGTCGACAAGTGTTTATCTAGATCACATTTTCTGACAGTTTTGTATGTACAGTACCGACACTGATGAACGTTACTTTTGATAGACGTGATATGATTCGGATGTTTCCGAATTATATGGTCGTCTAACGTTCGACGATTTTTGAACGCGGCTTTACAATGCTCGCAGGTCATGAACAAATCGGACGCTGTGTCCGGATGTTCGGTCATAATATGCGCTTCTATGCAATGCTTTATTGTGGTTTTATACGGGCATTTTGGACATTCGTGCACCTTGCTTGTAACCAAGGATATAAAATCGGGGTGATTTTTGATCACGTGATCATCCACCGACACTTTGCTCTTAAATGCGGCATCACAATGTTTGCATTTGTTGGGGTTTGAGCCAGTCACTGGCGACTCGGGGTGTTGGAACATATGTTTGTCCAGCACATCCTTCCTGACCGTTACATACGGGCAGTTTGGGCAAACGTACATTTTGCTGCTAACCGATGAAATCCACTCGGGGTGTTTTCTCAGTACATGCTCATCAAGAGCTAATCTCCGCTTGAACTTCGCGTCGCAACTCACGCAGTCAAGTTTACAACTTTCTGCCATGCTAACGTGAGTCAACATATGGTCAGCTAGAAAACTCTTAATTGTCGTTTTGTAGGTGCAGTCTGGACATACGTGTATCTTGCGACGGATCGTGGCGATTAATTCCGAGTGCTTTTTCAACACATGATCGTCTAAATTCATTTTTCTACGGAATGTTTTGCTACATTGTGTACACATATGACCTTTTGATCTACGTGATTTGCTCTCCGATTTCGAACAAGTTCCAAGTATCAGATGACCAACTATATTCTCTTTACAATTAGCGGTATAGTTACAATTATGGCAGACGAATAAATCTTTATCCGCCTCGACTTCTACTCCTGTTTCCCAGCACATCGGATTCGAGGGACTGAAAAAAGAATTACAACAATTATCTTTTTGGTCATGTAATAACAACAGTTGAAATGCACATGTTTGCTTTCTCTGTAACCGCGGACAACTCATCAGTGCGGTACAACTTTAACAGACCAACAGGATGTGTTTGACACTTATTGTCAAGGATGCAATATCAATATTGATACCATTCAGGTGATTTTAAGCAGCTACTCATAAAGGATCACTGTTGAGATTTAATTGTATACTTTGTAATTTTAAAACTGCAGTAAAGAAACTAGCAAAAAAATTGAAAACTTGCCTATCTCCTTCTGCATCAGGTATTCCATCAGACTTGATGTCCAAGTCCTCAGTGAGCTCTGCAGCAGCAATATCTTCAGGTTTGGTGTACCCCATTTCTGTCCCCAATTTCATCTTATCTTGCTTAACTCCAGCTGTTCCCTGTTCTTCATCTTTTACTTGTTCTGCTAACAACTTGAGCTCATCCCAATTCTCTGGAACTGGCTCAGGTTTTATCCTAGAATAATGAAGATTGTTCGGAGCTCAACCAATAATTAGAATATCATCCTCCTAGAATATACCCAACCCTCAGAGTGAAATTCCCCTTCGCAGACACACGTCATATATGAACTCTCTCTTGGACGGACGCGAACACGAGAAAATGTTCTCCTAACCAGGCAAAAAACAAAATAAAAGGAAAAGCCTTGTATTATTTTTTCTGTCGTGAGTATTGCCATTGCATTTCCCAATCGTGCCGCGCGCCATCTTCGCTGGGACTTTCTCGAGTAAACCGGGGATTCACCGATATAAAGGTAAGACCATTTTTTTTCATAGTTTTTTATTTATCTTAAAAACATTTATATTCATATCACAGCCACTTTGCCAAATAGCATCACAACAATTCCCTTAGGACCAGTTATTCAAATGTAGGTTAACTGTAATTTTTCTGCTAGCTGGAAGTTTGCACCCAAAACGCGTGTCTCAATGTCAGGTTCGTCCTAAGGCAGTAGTTAACTCTAACTAGAGAATCTATGGGTTACAGTTGCAGTTTAACTGCTGTGTCAAACCTTTTTTGCTTGACAATTACAGGAGTTGACTTATATAGCAGAAAACACGAATATTAAGTAACATAAAACGCGCAGAACAATATTGTTCAAGTTAAATGTTCATTAACCACAACCTGAAAGTTTTCAAACAACTGACAGTTAACTTTAAGGCATGCTTTTATCAATAGCAGGTTAACTGTATTTTTCCCGCTAACTGAACTTGACTCTTAAAACGCGTTTTTCAATGATAGGTTTGTCATAAAATGGTAGTTAACTTTAACCAGATGACTGTCCTCAGGTTTACTAGAAAGTTGTAGTTAAAACCCAATGCCTAACCTTTTTTGCTTGACAGTGACTGACACGAGTTGTCACAAATGACATGAAACACAAATCTTCAGCATCTCAAAATGCACAGAACACTATGGTTACATATTAGTTAAACAGAACTTTAAAAATGAATTTATGGACAAATAGTAGTTAAAATCCATGTTGCAAATCTTAAAAGTGAACTACTGATTGGGAAACCAGGCTTCAGTCACATTTACACAAGTTGAAAGACCTTGCATTTAAAGTAATAAAAAAGACAGGCTTTTAACTGGAAGCGGTATATTTTGGTGGGAAGTGTTAATCAGTGGCTAACTACTATTTTACACTATTCTTCAGTAATTTCCACATATAAATGAATTACCTATCTAATGTATCAAAGGAAGCATCATCTAGATTATTCTCAAGCTTGACGGCCAATTCATCTTTGATTGGTATAGTTAAGGACACTTCTTTGGCGATTTCTCCATTCACACATTCCATTGTAGATGAGCCACAACCAACCCAGTTATCTATTTTCACTTTTTCAATCTTGAAACTGGAAAAATTAAGATTATACTACACATTTTCTACAACCCACAGGAAAAACTAATCATGTGAAATTTGTCACAACACACCTCTCAGAACTTTCTTCATAATTTGAATATTGTTCCAGTTTTATAATGGCTGGATCACCTGCTCTATTTATGTCTACCTCTTCTTTGATTTTCGTTGATGGATAGTTTGAATACATCTTTTTAGGAAGGAGTTCAAAGTGAACAATGCAAGCAAGAGCTGAAAGTTGAAGGTATCACTTTTTTTAAATCATTCTTTTGTATTTCGGCCACAAATCCTTGATGATGCACTGGAGCTCAAGGGTTCAATATTTTTCCATGCCTAGGGCTTAAGCTTAAGTATACAATTCATAACAGTTTTGAAATATAAAAAAATTACAAAATACTAAAAAGTTAAGTCTAACACCACCACACTATTTTTCAATTTTTGTTCCGTTTTGTTTTTGTATTTATTTTCCTGTCATTAGTGTCATTTTTCTAGTTTTGTGTTCTGTGATTTCTTAGGAAACGAATAACCTAGAATCCTCGATCGTGCTGTCAAGACAGGTATTATTGTACACCATTTTCGTTCCTGCAAATCGATAGTTCATCATTTATTTTTTATTCGCCAAATTGCTATGTTTTCTAAAGTTATAATTATATGCAGTCACATTAGATCTAAAAATGGGCTTATTTACATTTTTCTAAAAAGAAACAAATAAAAAAACAATTTACCAAACATTTTTTATTTATTCATTAGTAGTAGAGTTTGAAGTGTAAAATACTACAACGGGCATACTAATCTAACAATCCTTCTGGTTGAAATAGCTAATAATATAGAATAATTTTACAAATGAATTATTAATGAGAATCCAATCCATGCAATGGATAAGATGATTTCAATAATTCAAATAATCTATTTCTGGTAGGAAACAGCATTTTAAATTGTGATTTTGGAGAAATTAGTTTGTTTTTGTATGCAAATGAACCTTTCTAAATAAAAGAGCTTTTAGCAAGTACAAAATAAATCTGTAGCGCACAAAAAACCAAAACAAAATATAGCTCTGTCTACCTGGCATTGACGGATGTGTGCTTTTCATATATGGAGAATTTTGAAATATTGCTAGATAATCATCTGCCATTCTACCGTGATGGATACTCGTGAAATAGGGTATAAGTGCCATTTTCCGTTTTTTCTTCTTGCTTTTTTGTAAGATTTCGCCAGTTTTTAACCTAATATATCAAAACGTCATGTAACCAAATCTTTGCTATGATCGGTTCTTAGACTATTACTGGTTTAAAAAAAAACGGCCATCTGTGAGCGTTATTCGTCAGACAAGTCGCTCATAGATGGCTCGACATTCTGTCAAGGATCCTCGCGATTCAATCATAGGTATGCATATACCGATGCGATGTTGCCAAACTGACATGAAATGTTTAGAAATGCTACATTTATGTTGAGCCGAATAGAATCCCCGATTTTTGGAGGTTACGACAAAAAGTCGTACGAAATAAGTAAACATACGAGGGCGGTCAGATTGGTACTTAGCACCACCGCCCGTCCTTACTGGAAAACCCTTTATGAGTCCATTCAAAACTTGTATTTTATCGCTAGTCATCTTTTTTATGCGTTGACAGCATGTGCTTGTCTAAACTGGATTTTATAGTAGTTTTATAAGGGCATTCTGGACAGCTACGTATTTTACTTGTAATTGTGAATTCATAATCAGAATGCTTTTTAAGTACATGATCATCCAGATTCATTTTTCTTGCGAACGATATATTACAAATTTTACATTTGTTCGTTTCACAATTTGAAACAGCACCATGCTGATTCAGTAGATGCTTGTCCATATCAGTTTTCCTCACAGTTTTATAAGAACAATTTGAGCAGCGATATATTTTTCTTGTAATTGTTGTCATAAATTCTGGATGTGTTCTTACTATATGATCATCTAGCCTTACTATATTGTTAAACATAGTACCGCAATGTATACATATGTTCAAGTTGAAGCTAGAAGGTGCTACTTTATGCGTTGATGAAATATGCCTTCTTAGATAATCTTTTACAGTAGTTTTATAAGGGCATTCATGACATTCAAATGTTTCACTAGTAACAGAAGATAAATGTTGCGGGTGCCTTTTCATTACATGATCATCGTGAATTTGAATACTTTTAAATTTTACGCTACAATGTACACAACTGAAAAAACTATCAGAGGTCGCTACCATTGTTTGAGAATGGTGTAGCATATGTTTGCTGAAGAGATGTTTTATAGCGGTTGTATACGTGCAATCTGGACATTTGTGAATTTTACCATTAATAGAATACGCCAAACTAGGATGCTCTCTCAATATGTGTTGATTTAATGCTATTTTATGATGATATGGTGCTTCACAATGTGGACAATCGTAAATCTTGCTGGGGGTCAGTCTGAACCTTTGCTCAGTCAGGCTCTTCTGAAACGCAGTTTGGAAGTCGCAGTTTGCATTCGTGTCTCTGAAAAAGAATAATAAATTAGATTCCTTGCCGGCTATAGTATTTTTCACGAGTATCCATTACGGAACAGCCGCATGGGTATCATGTAAAAAACCTATAAAACGTCAAAAAAAAAAAAACCTATAAGATGTCAACTAGCAGACTAGGAAGTTTTTAGGGCGCAAACAGTCATTCCACGTTTGCCTACTAGGATCATTGTGAACGTCCATCTATGGAGGAATCACTCAACTAAACTACGCATTATTGGTTGCATAGTTTTGTAAGGCTGAGTGATCCGGGTGTGTAGTTTTTATCTCTGAGAAGAAAGTTGGTTGAATAGCAAGATCGCATCTGGATGATTATGTGTATTTGTCTGCATGTGTATAAAATCAAAGATATTTGCTGGGTGAGAAAATCATTACTGAATATGCCGAATATGAAGAGAGGTTATGTTCAAAGTTATAAATTACGAAAAACTGAGGAGAATTACGGGAAATCATCACCGCACCCGCGTTGTGTGTAATTACTGTTAGCATGTATATGGCTTGTAATTCGACAGTGTACAGTGAATATAATTATTTCTGATCTCTCTCATTTTTGAAATTCAGCAAATTTATATATTTAATTTCCAGAATGGATAAGAAAAAGTGGATGCGCAACTAATTTCTAGCTGTGAATCTCAATTAAGTATATTTGTGACAATAACCCAATGTAAAATTATCATCAACACATACAACTTACAGCTTAGACCTCCAGTAATGCCATCTCAGAAGCAGATTTTACATCACATCAGAGCCAAAGATTGATAAAAAGCCTCATGACATTTAGGCAACAGGTACAACTAAGTCCTGTTAACATCTTGTAGAATAACCTACCTACTATAAAAAAAAAACAGCATAATGTCAAAAAAAAAATCGGCATAATGTCACTTGATACCCGTGCGGATTATCTAGTAGTATTTCAAAATTCCCCATATCGACAAGTGACACACAGTTCTGACGGATCCGTCAACGTCAAAATCCAGATGAAACTAAAACGTCGTGTGGAAACTGATAGCGCTTGTGGGAGGGAAATAAGATATGTAGTTTATGTGTTTTACAAAGAGCGAGATATTAAATAATATCTAATTTAATTTTTCAACTATGAAAGCATTTCAACTCGGCAACCATGCAGTCTTTGAGGATATCACAAAAATAAATTGTCGATGACCTCAGAAGTCATTTGAAGGTAGAGTTTTTAAAACAGATTCGTGTAAAGCTTGAGATTCTACATTTTGATACTTGAGGTCAAGCGGTCATAAGTGGTTTAACCAGTATGACCTATTGTAACGTCTGAAAAGAATACGAATTTTCCGAAAACTTGGCAACCACGCATTCTTTGGGAAAGGAACATTGAATGGTAACTCAAAAATACTTCCTGGACAGTGGGCGTTGGAAGTAAAAGCATTATATTTTCATTGTTAGTGAAACAGATAAGTAAAACAAAACATCGCATCGTGAGGAATTAAATATTTTATTAGGCCAACTTACATACAGAGACCATACATACGGAGTTAGGTGGTGGGTCAAAATCTTAGCCAAACAGATTAACTTTGATATTCGTATAAATCCAAAAGTTTCATTTATCGAATTTAAGAATTACCGGTTTTGTAAACACATTCATGGAACAATAACATTATCACAACACATAGCTGACAACATTAAACTCAAATAGCGTCACAACGATTGAAGATAGTTATAAGCTTTATTATTCAAAAGTTCCTTAAAACTTCATAGAAAAATTAAATTTAAAAATTTAAACTGTAACGCAATATCTTATTTTCCAAAATATACCAGGAGAGTCACAGATGGGGGTGCGACCTTTTCGTTGGACCAACCTGTATAGAGGAATGATTCAACGACACGCTTTTCAGATTTTTCAATATTAAATTTTTTGAAAATTTTGAAAACTGAAAATTCCTAATATGATGAAAATTTTGCAAACTGAATACTTTCTAAATTTTGAAAATTTCAATGTTGTAGCTGTGATGTATTTGAGTTTAATGCAACATCTGCTTCAGCGACGGCACTGGTCAAGGCCTTTCACAGCTTTTATGGCATAAGATCTATATTTATTCTATAAGACGCACCGCAGTGTACAGTTGTACCGTTCCTCCATAGATGGCGCTATCAGAGAGTAGGCGTGGCGTCCTCTGTCCAACTATCATTTTAGATTAAATGGGTGCCGTCTTTATCGGAGAAACCTTCATATGGCCATTCAGCCCATTTTCAAATGCTATTGATGGGCACCTTTTTATGTCCTGACAGCATATGTTCGTCTAAGCGAGATTTTTTAGTAGTTATATAAGCACATTCCGAACAGCTATGTATTTTACTTGTGATTGTAGAGGCGTAATCGGGATGCTTTTTAACAATATGATCATGTAGATTTTCTTTTCTTTTGAATGATGCATTACAATATTCACATTTGATAGATTTATCGTCACTAATTTTCTTATGTGCTCTTAGTATATGCTTGTTTATATGAGATTTAATAGTAGTTTTATACGCGCATTTTGAACAGTTATACATATATCTTACTGGAAATTGTGGACGTATAATCAGGATGATTTTTAACTAAATGGTCATTTAGATTTTGTTTTCTTGAGAATAACGCGTCACAGATTTTACATATATTTAATCCACGAATAGAACCAGCACCAGGATGCTTCCATAAATGCTTGTGTATATCACCTTTTATGACGGTTTTGTATGTGCAATGTAGACAGTGATAAATTTTTCTCATAACTCTTGTTATGAACTCTGGGTGTTTCCTCACTATATGATCATCTAGCTGTACTATATTTGTGAACTTGGCATCGCAATGTGAACAAATCTTAAATTTGAGGTTAGAAGGCGTACCTGGATGCGCCGACGAGATATGTCTGTTTAGGCTATCTTTTATAGTAGTTTTGTAAGGGCACACAAGACATTTAAATATTTTACTAGTAACTGAGGAAATTTGTTGCGGATGTTTTTTTATGATATGGTCATCGAGGCTTCGAAAACTCTTAAATTTTCCATTACAATGTATGCAACCGAACAATTTTTCATCGACCGTTTGAAAATGACGCAGCTTATGTCTCCGCAAACGAGACTTTGTATGCGTTATGTACGAGCAAACTGGGCACTTGAGCACTTCGATTGAATTAGAATCCATCGAGCTGGGATGTTCGTAAAGCTTGCAACTGCTTTGCCCAGCTGAGCTCTTCTGGAATCCAGCTTGGAAACCACGGGTTGCAGCCATGCCCCTGAAAGAGAATTACTCCATAAATACTTCAAAATTTGTACTCAAGAATTATGTCAACAACATACCTAGTTTGACAAGCACGCTATTGAAGAATATAATGTGCGAAATTAACAAAGGCCTTCTCAAACGAGGTATAGTTCACGGCGGACTTATAGTGTTTGTTCACATTTCTTGCTTGTCTAGGAGCCGACACACGTCAAATTGACTTTTGTTTGGTCATTTATTCATAGTGGGGATATTTATCATTCATTGCAACATACAAAAGGGTGTCCGCAAAGTTGGGGTTTTCGTTTTCAGAAACAACTACCCTTGAAATAACAAAGGTAATGTGTAGTGAAACGAGGGCGACCAAATAAAAAAAAAATAAAGGAAAAAGGACCCACTCTCCAGTTGACGAGAAGGGTTAAGTACGTCTCTGCCCGAAATCATACCGCTCCAACAGAAAATGAAATCAGCTGATGCGCTACCGAGCAGACGCCGGCGGTGGTGCAGACCACGAACAGAGGTAACAAATAAGACGGCGTTGCCGCGTTTTCAGTTTTTACGTAAACGTACTTCATAGGTATTGTTCGAAGTTATCGCCGTTTGACTCAAAAACTCAGGTGCGTGCACGACGTAGCCAAGCATCGGTGCAGGCTTTGAGAATGGAGTCCCTCCCCCGAATGAAAGCACCAGCTTGTTCAAATCTGAGACGAAGTTCGTCAACCGTATGCACTTCAGTTTTGTACACTAAGCGTTTCATTTCTCCCCAAAGAAAAAAATCACATGGTGTTAAGTCTGGAGATCGCGGAGGCCACGCTACGGGTCCATTACGTCCGATCCACCTATTCGGAAATAATTCATTCAAAAACTCACGCACTTCGCGTCTAAAATGGGGCGGTGCACGATCGTACAGAAACCACATTGATTGTCTTACACTTAATGGCACATCTTCTAACAAGGAAGGCAAAATGTTGCGTAAAAAGTCTAGGTATTGCATCCCGTCCAATCGATTTGGGAGAATAAATGGTCCAATGAGCATACCGTTCACCATGCCAGCCCAAACATTCACCGAAAATGTTTGTTGAAAATGTGCCCGACGGACAGCGTGCGGTTTTTCTACTGACCAAACATGAGTGTTGCGGAAGTTATTCACCCCATTACGCGTGAACGTAGATTCGTCTTTCACCAATATGCACTTCAAAAAGTCCGGATTATTGTCATGTTGATGCAACAACCACTCACAAAACCGCACTCTTGCTGGAAAATCGTCAGGTTGAAGGGCTTGTACACGTTGGACGTGAAACGGATACAGCCCCTCTTCACGCAGCGTTTGCCACACTTTAGTTTTTGATACTTGCACTTCTCTAGCCACGTCTCTAGTGCTTGTTGAGGGATTCTCGTCTACGCGATTCAGTAGTTCTTCCTCAACTTGCACCATTCGTGGTTGTCTAGGCCTCCCACTGTGCCCACCTCGTAACAGCAAATCCAATATCACGCCGTTGACAATAGTGGTCCGCAGTCAGAGGAAGCACTAACCGTGGACGTATTTGTCTTGACGGTCGACAATTTGGCCTGCTTCGTGTTCCTCGACCTTCTTCTGTCCACACACGACACACACGTATTACCGTCATCGCAGCACAATTAACACGGCGGCCAATTTCGCGATAGGACAAACCAACAACTCGAGGCATTTTGTTATGCTTTACACTAAATGAAAGGGCAATAACTAAAGATACCTGTAGTTCTCAGAAGCTGCTTTCTTCACAAAAACTAAGAGATAACATTTTAACAAAGTTAAACAAAAACTAAGATAAAACGTTGAAATTGTTGCCACAGCGTGCCTTAAATATAGTCATTATCTTGCCAAAAAACAAGTTGAAGACATTGTTTTTTGAATTAACGTCATTTTGCTTATTGTAAGTGTAGCGTTTTTTAAATATTTTATGGCAGCTTGGCAACACCGCTTCAGCAGCTAAGGTCAGTCCACACATAGATCGCTGCTTTTATTTGTAAACCAGTGATATAGCAGCACACAGTGAATTATTCTATTGAAAATAGTACCTTACCTGTTCAGTGGAAGCTTGCTAATATTACTCCTTTGCCTAAAGTAGGGAGGTGGATCTTTCTGTCAAGGCTAGAAAGATCGAGATCCTTCTGTTCACTAGAGCTTATTTCATAAATTACACACAACTCAAGTGATATTAATTTTATTAATTTATCATAATTACACAATTGATAATATAAAGGTAAAACCGATTAACATATTCATAAAATATAATATTAAAAAATACGCATATGCAAAATCCTATGCTGTATTTGTCGTATTTTAAAAACTACTACATTTTCCTTTTAAAGAAATTTGTTTAATCGTAAATCCTTCTAAAAAAAGTTTCATTTGAAAATTGTAGGGAATGATGGTGACCTTGAAATGTCCAATATATCCGTGAATGTAACTAAGTTTTAATGTAAGCAGACAAATTAGCAACAAAAAAGCAAATAAGAAAAATGCATTATAATTATAGCCCAAGAGCCTAACTAAGCACGACTTTCACCGATTTGATGACCGGATTTCATAACGTATTTTATACATTAATAAAGTGTTTGTACGCATGTTGGGTTAGTTCGTAATTTTACCCTCTACCGCCTGAATTATATGAATTTTGATATCACTATTGTCTGGTGTTAAATTTTAAAGGTTAAAAGGGTGAAAGTAATATGTATTTCCTTTATTAGAAAACAAAACCCTTGGATGAACAGCTGCCTGCAGAACAGAATTTGTGGTTGTTTCATGACGGGGCACCACCACACATTTTTAGAGGCGTCATTCAGTATTTGAATGAACATTATCCAAATCGCTGGATCGATCGAAATGCTCCTGATCCTCTAAAATGGCCAGCAAGATCTCCTGACCTCAATCCGATGGATTTCTGGTATTGGGGAGAACTTAAAGGGTTGGTTTATCACCCATTTAAATAATGACTATCATAACGTTTACACCATGCATAAGCTTAGTAACGTAACGTTTTAAAATCTTACCCCTAACTAAGAGAAGGGTATTGTCTGACTTATGCTGTCTCCACCGAATCCTGAACAATCGAATTGACTGCTTGTACCTTTTATCTAAAATAAATATAAACGTACCGCTAAAAGTGAATCCTAGAAAATGTATGTACTCCAATATCCCGTTTTTTAGAACTAATATTACTTTTAACTCTGCACTGATACGAATGCAAATAAATCACAAGAACCATAGTGAATAAGATGATATTTTCACTTCATCATACTACTTCTCTACGAGTATTTTCTGATTATCATTATAAATATACTACTGTATTTTCATATACATATACAGTGTGACTTTGAAGTTGAGTCATTAATTTTCAGATAATGATTGTAGAAGGAAGATAAACCAAAATATGTGTGTAAAAATAAAAAAAAAAATGTTACCTTGTTTTATAAAGCATCCTCCCGACAAGTATTTCAGTGCGGACCTGTATTTGATCGTGAGGTCTTGGAGCACCGGCATGCCCTCCCCTGTGAGGTCTTAAGTCACCTGATTCACGAGCCCTTTGTACTACATTAACAAAGGCACGAGGGGTTGGTTGCACTCGATTGGGAAACCGATCCGCATAAACATGTGCCACTTTTTATTTCGTTTGAGCCACGCAACAGACACCACTATTCACTCACGCGTTACCGACTGACACATTGACTGAATAAAAACATCGTGATCAGCGTTTCAAATTCTTTCGCTTTTTTGTTTCCGATGCGATGAACCGATAAGGCGGATTATATCCGTTGTTGCCAAACACGAGCACATAATATTATTAATGAGACAGGGCGGTACTCAAACTTCTAAAGGGCTATAACTTTGTTCCTTTAATTTTACCACAAAAATGTTAAAGGAAAAAAACATTTGTTTTGATCAGGTCTACTCATTGTTAAAATAAATGACTCAACTTCGAAGTCGTTTACAAATAACAGTGCTCATATCTTAATATGCCTAACAATTCTGTATGCCTATTTTGGAGATTTTCTGTGTTTGATGATCCTAATTTTGTAAATAAATCAATAGATGTGTAAGCTATTGGTCCATATAATGGCTGTATCTCTTATGGATTCCTCTATATTTATTTTCAGTATAATTCTATCCAAATATATTATTAATAAAATCATAGTTTACACAATCATTGTCAACTAATCTAGTTGTTTTATATGTGCGATCTGGACATTTATATTATATTTTTCAATTATCCCAGGAAATGCAATTTTAATGTTTTTTTATTATTCGACCAAAAAGACACTTGTTTTTATTCAGCATTGCAGTATTTACACGTGACCGCTTGAAAATCAAGTGCCACTTAACGATGAGTCATTAGATGTTTCTCGAAATTGAACATTTATCTACTTTCTGCGGTTTTGGATGCTTCTTTAACACATGATTATCTAGTCCTTTTTTAGTTTTAAACGTAGCTTGACAATTCGTACACTCGTTTAAATTTGTATTTTTTTCAGAATGCGTCAATTTATGTCTGTCCATTTTGAACCTTGCCACGGTTTTGTACGTACAATTTGGACATTCGTATATTTTTGTGATAACTGATGATATAAATTCTGGGTGGTCTCTTAGTATATGATCGTCCAGAGATTGTCTCTTTTCAAAAGCAGTATTGCAATGTTGACACGTTCTGCAATAAGGAATTGTACGTGGATGGTTCCTTGGCATATGAGCGGCCAGTTGCCTTTTTACGACAGTTTTATATGTACAATGTGCACATTGAAATATTTTCCGTGTAACGGACTCTGCTAATTCTGGATGTTCACTTAATATGTGATCATCTAGGGTTAAGCTTCGTTTAAAAGTCGCATTGCAATGTGTACACGTAAGAAACGGAATACTAGATGAAGACAAACCATGTATAGTCATTACATGCCTATCGAAATTCTGGTTATTCGTTGTTTTGTATTTGCATTCTGAACATTCGTATATCTTACTAGTGACTAACGTTGCATATTCTGGATGATTTTCCAATATGTGATCATCTAAAGACGTTTTGTCTTCATATCTCTCATTACAATACACACAAGTAACTGTCGTGTTCGTAGTAGATACGCTAGGCTGATTCTGGGGCACTTGATCGCTCGCCCCATGTACCGCTTTGATATGCTTCTCAAAATCACGTTTCTTGGTAGTTTTATACGGGCACTCTGAACATTTGAACACTTTGACAGATA